ACTCTCAAGGATCTATGGGAAACTCTCAAAGATCTATGAGAAACTCTCAAAGATCCATGGGAACCTCTCAAAGATCCATGGGAACCTCTCAAAGATCTATGGGAAACTCTCAAAGATCTATGGGAAACTCTCAAAGATCCATGAGAAACTCTCAAAGATCCATGGAAAACTCTCAAAGATCTATGAGAAACTCTCAAAGATCCATGGGAAACTCTCAAAGATCTATGGGAAACTCTCAAAGATCCATGAGAAACTCTCAAAGATCTATGGGAAACTCTCAAAGATCTATGAGAAACTCTCAAAGATCCATGGGAACCTCTCAAAGATCCATAGGAAACTCTCAAAGATCCATGAGAAACTCTCAAAGATCCATGGGAAACTCTCAAAGATCTATGGGAAACTCTCAAAGATCCATGGGAAACTCTCAAAGATCCATGGGAAACTCTCAAAGATCTATGGGAAACTCTCAAAGATCTATGAGAAACTCTCAAAGATCTATGAGAAACTCTCAAAGATCCATGGGAAACTCTCAAAGATCTATGGGAAACTCTCAAAGATCCATAGGAAACTCTCAAAGATCCATGAGAAACTCTCAAAGATCCATGGGAAACTCAAAGATCCATGGGAACCTCTCAAAGATCTATGAGAAACTCGCCTGTATTTGGGCATCGTCTGGTCCTCCCGGTTCTGTGCAGTGGATGATCTCCCATAATGCGTTGCGCCAAACACGCGTGTGTGGGTCTCACACCGGGTCTCACGCACGTGCACAGAGGGTCTCACACACGTGCACAGAGGGTCTCACGCACGTGCACAGAGGGTCTCACACACGTGCACAGAGGGTCTCACGCACGTGCACAGAGGGTCTGCACGTGCACAGAGGGGCTCGGCCGCGCTCTGACCAATCAGAGCAGTTCATCAGAGCGGGAGTTAGAGCCAGAGCCAGACGAGCAGAGTTTGTGGCACTAAAGTGTGGATTTAAACAAAACCGAAGGATTTAAGAAGAAAAAAAGTTCAGGATGACAAGGGACACTAAAATCCCCACAAAATCCGATCTGTATTAAAGCTGCAGGTTCTCTGTCAGGTTCTCTGTCAGCTGAGGTTGAGCTGTTTTAATATGCATTGAGCTCTATGGAGAACATTTCTGGGTAGCCCACGTGAGTTTAGTCTGGTTTAGTCTGCAGTACCGCGAGAATCTCCCGAGCTCATGGGTTATTCAGCTACAAGCTGTAATGGGGAAAGTCCTTGAGAAAGTTGTCTACCTACAGCTTACTAGATTTCTTATCATCCACAACTCATTTGATATGTTTCAGTCCGGCTTTAGACCCCACCACAGCACTGAGACTGCTCTTGTTAAGGTTACAAACGATATCCGGCTGAACACTGACGCAGGCAAAGTCTCAATCCTAATCTTGTTAGATCTAAGTGCTGCCTTTGACACCGTCGACCATGAGATCCTCTTACAGAGACTAGAGGACTGGGTTGGCGTCGCTGGCACCGCCCTTAGTTGGTTTAGGTCTTACCTTGAAGACAGGAAGTACTTTGTGGAGATTGGAAACTGTGTCTCAGATCATATGGCCCTGACCTGTGGAGTCCCACAGGGGTCAATCCTGGGACCTCTTCTGTTCAATCTCTACATGCTGCCGTTAGGTCAGTTAATACGCAGAAACAAAGTGTCCTATCATAACTATGCAGACGACACTCAGATCTATGTCTCACTGACTGCAGGAGAACATGGACCAGTGGACTCACTCCTTCACTGTATCCAACAGATCAGTGAGTGGATGCAAAACAACTTCCTTCAGCTAAACGCAGACAAAACTGAAATGATTGTCTTTGGTCCCCAGAAACAAAGAGAGAGCGTCATCTGTCATCTACAGTCTCTCTCCCTAAAACCTTCAAACAAGGTCAGAAATCTAGGGGTAATACTGGACTCAGACTTAAATTTTAATAGCCACATTAAATCAGTAACATCAGCAGCTTTTACCACCTAAAAAACATTGCCAGGATCAAAAACATAGTGTCTAAAGCAGACCTGGAGATTCTTATCCATGCATTTGTCTCCAGTAGGTTAGACTACTGCAATGGCCTGCTCACAGGTCTGTCCAAACAGGCTGTAAAACAGCTGCAGTACATTCAAAATGCAGCAGCTCCAGTCCTGACTAGAACCAGGAAGTACGACCACATTAGTCCTGACTAGAACCAGGAAGTACGACCACATTACTGGCACCGCCTTATTTATCTGATTTGTTGTCTTTGCACGCCCCTGTCAGAGCTCTGCGATCCTCGGGCCAAAGTTTGCTGGATCGTCCAAGTACGACCACATTACTGGCACCGCCTTATTTATCTGATTTGTTGTCTTTGCACGCCCCTGTCAGAGCTCTGCGATCCTCGGGCCAAAGTTTGCTGGATCGTCCAAGATCTCATTTAAAAACTAAAGGAGATAGAGCTTTTGCAGTAGCAGGCCCTAAACTGTGGAACTCCCTCCCTGTGACCATTAGACAGGCTACATCAGTTGAGAGCTTCAAAACTCTGGTAAAGACTTACCTTTTTACGCAGGCTTTTAACACAAGATGAGCTGAGCATTTCTTCATTTTTTCATATTTTTACAGTTTACATTTTTACTTTCTTATCGTGTTATATTATTGTGTTTTTGTAGTGTTGTATTATTGTACTGTGTACAGCACTTTGGGGCAGCGATGGCTGTTTTGTAAATGTGCTTTATAAATAAATTTGACCTTGACCTTGACCATTAGTCCTGACTTGAACCAGGAAGTACGACCATAATAGTCCTGACTAGAACCAGGAAGTACTACCACATTAGTCCAGTCCTCAGGTCTCTGCACTGGCTTCCTGTGGCTCAGAGAATAGACTTTAAAACAGCTCTGCTTGTTACAAGTCTCTCCATGGCCTCGCTCCAAAATATATTAGTGACATGTTAGTACCATACGAACCAGCCCGGACTCTGAGGAGCACAGGGACTGGACTCCTGCTGGGACTCTGAGGAGCACAGGGACTGGACTCCTGCTGGGACTCTGAGGAGCACAGGGACTGGACTCCTGCTGGGACTCTGAGGAGCACAGGGACTGGACTCCTGTTAGTGCCCAGAGTCAGAACTAAACCATAGACTGTATATAATAACGGACAGAGTCACGCCTATCTCCGCCGTTCTAACTAATGGTCCAAAAAATGTGCTCTACTGGAGCTATCCAAAATGGCCGCGAGTGGTCCCGCCCACAAGAAAATTGTGAAAAAATGCATTTGTGCATGCGTCAGCCGGAGCAGCTCCATTCATTTGAACGAGAGACTTCAAAAATTCAAAGCGAGTAAACTAGAGTGGACCAAAACACCCCCCTCAGCATTGACACACATGTGGAACGGAGCTTTGGGCCAAGAGACAACTTTTGGTCCATCCTGTAAAGACGTTTTCGAGAGGTCTGCTAATGCTATATGTTAACATTGGCTAATTCTACTTCTGGGTCCACCCCCATCGGCCCGGGGTGGTATTGCAGCATGTCAGCGCACGTCATTTTGGACACTTTTGAGCTGGGACCCGCCCACACTGGACTAAACATGGGGAGGCTGCTTTTCAGATTCATGCTGCTAAAATCTGGAACAGTCTTCCTGAAGATGTGAGACAGGCCTCCTCAATGACAGTGTTTAAAACTTGGTTAAAGACAGTTCTGTTTAGCTGTGCTACAACTGAGGGATTTTATATTTTTATCTTTCTTTTTAGGGGCGACAGTAGCTCAGTTGGTAGAGCACTGGCCTTTGAGCCTGAAGGTCGTGGGTTCAATCCCACCACGGGACCTTCTCCACCGACTCCCACTGATGACTGCTGTCGTTGTGTCCTTGGGCAAGACACTTAAGCCTGCATTGCCTGAAGCCCCCGCTGAAAAATCAAGGCTGTATTGTCACTGACAGAGCAGCCGTCCTCCTGTGGACTCACCACCTGCAGAGGGTCAGTGAGGGGCTGGTGCTAAGTGAATTGGGTGCAGCTCTGACTGCCACCCCCCCGACCCAGAAATGGATTAAGGGGAAGAAGATGGATGGATGGATGGATCTTTCTTTTTAATGTTCTGTGATTATTTATGATTGTAATGCTTTCTTATTTTGTTCAGCACTTTGAGTTGCCTTGTGTATGAATTGTGCTATACAAATAAACTTGCCTTGCCTACCCTATCCAGTTAATATAATAGATCCATGGTCCAGACCCAGACCCTGTGAACTACAAGAGTCTGGACTGAGTCCAGACCCAGACCCTGTGGACTACAAGAGTTTGGACTAAGTCCAAACCCAGACCCTGTGGACTACAAGACCCAGACCCTGTGGACTACAAGAGTCTGGACTGAGTCTGGCTTTGAGCGAATGATTAGATCAATATGAAACAAGAAACACCTTTTGACACGTGTGACTTCTCTGTGTGTAGGAGTCCTGGGAGACAGCAACACAACAGGTAACACACACCCAAAGACACACACACACACAGAGACAGACACAGACAGACACACACACACACACACAAAAACAGACAGACACACACACACAAAGACAGAGACACACACAAACACACACACAAAGACAGACACACACACACACAAACACACACACAAAGACGGAGACACACACACACAAAGACAGACACACACACTTGAGTATGAGTTCTGACTGACAAAGGGCAAAGCCTCACCATGTGGATGTCACTGGGTTCTGCTGGTCCCTGAGCTCGGTGTTGTTGTGGTCCTGTGTAATAACCCATGTCCCTGTGAGCAGGGCCTCTCGGTCTGAGGCTGGAGGGAGGAGCCGGCCGCTGTCAGGGGGAGGTGCAGCTGCAGAGACCAGGTCTGGACTGGACTACAGTGGATCCAGAATATGTTAGTCTGGAGTTTGGATCCAGAATCTGCTCTGCTCTGGACTGTGGCTCCGCTCTGTCTGTGAGGGAAAGACCAAACTCTAAACAAACATCTGTGACAGTCAAATATGATTGTGAGGAGACTGAACTGATGGACTGCTTTGAGGATCCATCATCTCCATCACAGAGTCTGGAACTCAAGTGCTCAGGTGAGAAACCTCAGCCTCATTAGGACTCAGCCTGGTCCTTCACCAGTCTCTGGGTTTTGGATCCAGGTGTTTTGTTGTATACAGATGTTTGTGATGAAGTCCTCTGTGTCTCAGAGTCTGTACGGCTGGTTGGAGGCTCTGGTCTCTGCTCTGGATCACTGCAGATCTGGAACCAGTCCTGGACCTCGGTCTGTGAAGGGGCCTTGGACCTGAGGGGAGCAGAGGTGCTGTGCAGGGAGCTGGACTGCGGGGCTGCTTCTTTCTTCCAGGGGGCGCTCTCTCCTGTGGGGCAGACGTTCCACTGTGAAGGCCATGAGTCTGCTCTGATGGACTGTCCCCGCTCCAGACCCAAGACCTGCTCCTCTGGACCCAGTGTGAATGTCACCTGCTCAGGTATGGGGGCGGGGCTCAGGTGAGGGGGTGGGGCTCAGGTGAGAGGGGCAGGGCTCAAGTGAGGGGGTGGGGCTCAGGTGAGGGGGCGGGGCTCAGGTGAGGGGGCGGGGCTCAGGTAAGAGGGGCACGGCTCAGGTGAGGGGGCGCGGCTCAGGTGAGAGGGGCTGGGCTCAGGTGAGGGGGCGGGGCTCAGGTGAGGGGGTGGGGCTCAGGTGAGAGGGGCAGGGCTCAAGTGAGGGGGCGGGGCTCAGGTGAGGGGGCGGGGCATGGAAGTCCTAATAGAGAGATTGTTATGACCAATAATATTTTGATCAAACGTAGTTGACAAACCTAACAAGTTCAGACCCATATTCAGTGTATGTCTGTGTTCAGAGCCGCTGAGGCTGATGAGAGGGGCCCGTCGCTGTGCTGGGACCGTGGAGGTCAGAAAGAGAGGAGAATGGAGACCATTGTATAATCCAGGCTACTGGACCCTGGGTCACACTGAGGCCGTCTGCAGAGACCTGGACTGTGGATCTCTTGTTTCTGTAGAAGAGGATCGTTCACAGACTAGTACCTGGGTGATCTCTGAGGGCTGCGTGGAGAGGAGGAAGTCTGCAGTGAGAGAGTGTCTTTTTGCCTCAGATGACTCTTATGGCATGGGTCTGGGGGTGGTGTGTTCAGGTAAGACACATGTTCTTCATGTTTATTTCATTTCTGTTTTGGGTTGAGAGCTCGGTGCTTGCAGGGCTGTGATTGGCCCAGTCTCACTGCTGCTTTTAGACTAGGGGTGCAACGGTTTGAAAAAATCACGGTTCGGATCGTACCTCGGTTCAGAGGCTATGGTTCGATTCATTTTTCGAATCAGCAAAAAAAAAAAAGAAGTTGTCTTTTTAATAAACACGGCTCCTGTGGACTCAACACCTGCAGGAGGATCAGTGAGGGGCTGGTGCTCTGTGACTGGGACAGCTCTGACTGCCACCCCCCCTGACCCAGAAATGGATTAAGGGGAATAAAATGGATGGATGGATGGACGGCATATTGCATCCATCCAATTATGTCTTTTTAACATAATTAATGAAAAACAACACAAAGTGCAACATAAGAAGGCACTTTGAGGTTATTTACTCTCGTATATTAAACCACCCGATTCTCCCGAGGAGGCGCTCCATCCTGGGCCTAGCCTCATTCACTGCATTTATTTAATTTTTGGCAATATCAGTTGTGACTGGAATATTAGTACTGGGCCTTTGTCTTCCATTCCTCCGCTGCTGTGTCAGAACCTGTGCTGTGTGTCAGTACCTGTGCTGTGTCAGTACCTGTGTGTCAGTACCTGTGCTGTGTCAGTACCTGTGTGTCAGTACCTGTGCTGTGTGACTGTCGTAGAGGGGGCGTGTCTGCAGCGCCGGACTCTTCATCTCCCAGTCTGCGGTGATGAAATGAGCGGTTATCGTAACATAGCTCTCTGTTCTGTTCATGGATCTATTCTAGGTTCTGTTCTGCTCATGGATCTATTATAGGTTCTGTTCTGCTCATGGATCTATTCCAGGTTCTGTTCTGTTCATGGATCTATTATAGGTTCTGTTCTGTTCATGGATCTATTCTAGGTTCTGTTCTGTTCATGGATCTATTCTAGGTTATTTTCTGTTCATGGATCTATTCTAGGTTCTGTTCTGTTCATGGATCTATTCTAGGTTCTGTTCATGGATCTATTATAGGTTCTGTTCTGTTCATGGATCTATTCTAGGTTCTGTTCTGTTCATGGATCTATTATAGGTTCTGTTCTGCTCATGGATCTATTATAGGTTCTGACGTTCAGGGCTCTTCATGGCCAGGCTCCTGATTATATAAAGGACCTGATCCAGCCTTATACCTCTAACAGGAGCCTGAGGTCCTCCACGCAGAACCTACTGATGGTTCCTGAGGTCCTCCACGCAGAACCTACTGATGGTTCCTGAGGTCCTCCACGCAGAACCTACTGATGGTTCCTGAGGTCCTCCACGCAGAACCTACTGATGGTTCCTGAGGTCCTCCACGCAGAACCTACTGATGGTTCCTGAGGTCCTCCACGCAGAACCTACTGATGGTTCCTGAGGTCCTCCACGCAGAACCTACTGATGGTTCCTGAGGTCCTCCACGCAGAACCTACTGATGGTTCCTGAGGTCCTCCACGCAGAACCTACTGATAGTTCCTGAGGTCCTCCACGCAGAACCTACTGATGGTTCCTGAGGTCCTCCACGCAGAACCTACTGATGGTTCCTGAGGTCCTCCACGCAGAACCTACTGATGGTCCCCCGCACCTGTTTTAAAACCAGAGGAGACAGATGGTTCAAGGCCGTTGCCCCTCGCAGTGGAATGAGCTGCCCCTGTCCCTGCGTGTCCTGGAGTCAGCTCAAGACGCCCTTATTTAGACAGGCCTTTTAGATCTTGATGTTTATGTACTTTGCACAACTTGTTTTTCTCTACTCTGTATGCTCTATATGTATGTATTGGTCTTGCTTTTAACGTGAAGCGCTTTGTGACCCTGGTCTGAGAAAGGAGCTATATAAATACATTTTACTTACTTACTTACTAATGTTTGTGCAGAAAACCATCCATCCAACTTCTTCCCCATAATCCATTTCTGGGTCGTGGCAGTCAGAAGTGCACCAGTTCAAAGAGAACCCCTGCTCCTCACTGCTCCTCCTGCTCCTCCTGCTCCTCACTGCTCCTCCTGCTCCTCCTGGTCCTCACTGCTCCTCCTGCTCCCCCTCCTCTCTATTATTATTATTATTATTATTATTATCAATGCATTTTTGTAAAAGTGAACAGTCAACAGTCGACCCAAACCTTAACCCAGACACAAACACTTCATACTTTCCTGAGAATGAGATCATGTTTTACAGATGAGACAAAATGCCCCAGAGCGTAACGTGGCGTCAGGCCTGAGATAATCCATGGACTGGGCATTATTGTGTGGCTTCTTCAGAAGAAGGGCTTCATCATTTCAATCACTATATAACTATGAGACTTGGACCTGCGGGTCCAGAGATTTGGACTGGACTTGTCTCGGTCTTGGGATCAGAGTTTGTGAAAGCAGAGGTCACACTTTAGGTCTCATCTCTGATACATTTGTGCGCTGGCTTTTATATTAAGTGAGAGTTGTTGAAATGACTGAGTCCATTCTCCAAAGTCCGGTCCTCTGTGTCTCAGAGTCTGTGCGGCTGGTTGGAGGCTCTGGTCTCTGCTCTGGATCACTGCAGATCTGGGACCAGTCCTGGACCTCGGTCTGTGAAGGGGCCTTGGACCTGAGGGGAGCAGAGGTGCTGTGCAGGGAGCTGGACTGCGGGGCTCCTTCTTTCCTCCAGGGGGCGCCCTCTCCTGTGGGGCAGACGTTCCACTGTGAAGGCCATGAGTCTGCTCTGATGGACTGTCCCCGCTCCAGACCCAAGACCTGCTCCTCTGGACCCAGTGTGAATGTCACCTGCTCAGGTGAGAGGGGCGGGGCTCAGGTGAGGGGGCGGGGCTCAGGTGAGGGGGTGGGGCTCAGGTGAGGGGGCGGGGCTCAGGTGAGGGGGCGGGGCTCAGGTGAGAGGGCGGGGCTCAGGTGAGGGGGCGGGGCTCAGGTGAGAGGGCGGGGCTCAGGTGAGGGGGCGGGGCTCAGGTGAGGGGGCGGGGCTTAACTCTCTTCCCTCTTGTGTCCAGAGCGTGTCAGGCTGGTGGGAGGGTCCGGTCGCTGTGATGGGATCCTGGAGCTCAGACACAGAGGAGACTGGAGACGTGTGAAGACGTCCTTTGGAAGATGGACTCTGAGGCACACAGCTGACGCTTGCAGAGACCTGGGCTGTGGCTCTGCAGTGAAGCAGAAGAAGAGAGGGGACTTTCCAAAGAGCCCGGTGTGGGAGGTCTCAGCGTACTGTCTGAGGAGCTCCTCGCTGAGAGAGTGTATCTCGGAGGAAGACTCCACCTCCACAGGAATGGAACTGGTGTGCTCAGGTACAAGTCTGACCCTTCATCTTTCAGCTGCTCTTAATGATCCGAGACTAAACACAACACAATTTACATCCAGGAAGAAACGACAGAGGAGAAGGAGAGGAGAGGAGAGGAGAGAGAAGGAGAGGAGAGGAAAGAAAAGAGAGAGTAGAGGAAAGAAAAGAGGAGAGAGAGAGGAGAGGGAGGAATGGAGAGAGGAAATACTTACTGAGGTACACGGACAGAGGTTATACATGAAGTGTTCTTTACTGAACCGTCCAATCCTACTGTCAGGAATGAAGCAGACAGAGACGGATCGTGGTGCGCCAAACTCTGGAAGTTTATTTAAGTTTCTCTCAAGTTCCAGTGGTTTCCATTGTTTCTTTCTCTCAGACAGAATAAAGGCAGTACACAGTTTATATAGTCATTGTTAAAGTCAGTACACAGTTTATATAGTCATTGTTAAAGTCAGTACACAGTTTATATAGTCATTGTTAAAGTCAGTACACAGTTTATATAGTCATTGTCTCGTCACACATGGAAAGACGTGTCACATCAGAGTCAAAATAATCAGAGTCCTTGTACAGTCCTGCACGTAGGCCATATTGCTATCTAATACTAACACTCTCCCCTTTGATCACATAATCACATGTGATCACTCAATTTGATCAATCAATAAAGTGGAAAAAAAACAAAATGTATGCATTAAACTCATAATCATCAAATCAATATCAGTGGATTTTATCCTCTATCCTGGGAAAAAAACAAAAAAAAAAAGTAAATAAATAAACAAAAAACAAAAACAATCAAGCACTATTGGACACAGTAGAACTTCGCAGATTCAGTCAAAACACAGACAAAAATGAGCTGAGTCTCAATTTAGAAGCCAATTTCACTTTTATTACTCTATACTTTTATTTTAATGCTAATTGTTTACACTACACTTATTTCACTTTATTGTTTTCACTTTTTAATCTTAGACTGTGTACTTTACTTTTACTATTCACTATAGTTTAAAACTATTCTAATCTATTTACAAATATGTTTGTATATTTACTTTTATCGATTTTAATCTAATAAATCTCTCTGTGGTTTACTTTCATTATCAGTGGATTATTGTCAGTGGGATTTTTCTCTATGTCTATTCTACATTCTCAGGAATAAAACTGTGAACACATAAAGACATATGAACATTATTATGGTCAGTTTTCCAAATACATTTGTTGAACCAGGAAGTGATGTCACTTCCTCCTCTCAGGCAGTTTGGGATGAATGTACATCCATCCATCCATCCATTTTCTTCCCCTTAATCCATTTCTGGGTCGGGGGGGTGGCCAGAGATGCCACCCAGTCCACAGAGCACCAGCCCCTCACTGATCCTCCTGCAGGTGGTGAGTCCACAGGAGCTGAGATCTTTCAGTGGGAGCTTCAGGCAAAGTGGGGTTAAGTGTCTTGCCCAAGGACACAACGACAGCAGTCATCAGTGGGAGTCGTGAAGTAGGTCTTACTGTGGGATCGAACCCACAACCTTCTGGCTCTAAGGCCAATGCTCTACCAACTGAGCTACTGTCGCCCCAATGTGAATGTACATCATTAATCAAATTATTATTATCCTTACAAGAGCTAATCTATTTTAGCAGGTTTGGGGTCAGTCATTCTACAATGGTGTTTGATTCTCTAATCTGTGCTGACGAATCGAAAGCTTTTTAAACTTCTACATTGATCTCATTAATCTAAGCTACACTCATGAACTTTTGCATTGTCAACATTCACAGATGTTTGAAACAAGTGAATTTGACAGGTATCTAATAAAACTGTGCATAAAACTGTAATTAACTTGATCTACTTTTGAAGTAAAGGTTTGTGAACATATTTTGAAGGAAATGGTGCTTTTACCGTTTGATAATAGCACTGGCTAGACACATTCTCTATTTTTTGGTTGATGCATTTATCTAATTCTATTTTGTGACTCCAAAGCTCGGTTGCAGCTTGAGCAAAGGCATTTTTCTAATTTGTGACTTCAGTCACTTTTAATAGCTGTAACATGATTCTGATTCTAATATTATATCTGCTCTATCAAAAGGATAACATTGTATAGTTATGATTTTAACTCTTATATGGAAATGTGTTTATGAAAAACAAAGGAAATCAAATTCTACTTTTTTACTACTAGGAAGTTCCTAATTTTAGCGATGTTCCGTAAGTGGAAGTACGCCGTTTTAGTTGCTTGGCTTATATAAGCCTTGAAGGAGAGTTCTTGGTCAAAAATGACTCCAAGATTCCTCACAATGTTACTGGGTATAATACTGACATTATCAGAGTGATTATCTGGTTAGTGAGGGAGTCACGCAGGCGCTTCGGACCGAGTAGGATCACTTCTGTCTTCTCCGGGTTGAGAAGTAGGAAGTTAAGAGTCATCCACATTTTAAGGTCCTTTATGCAGGCACTGAGCTTTTCTAGCTGATCTGTCTGATTTGGCTTCATCGACAGATAAAGCTGTGTGTCATCTGCAGCAGTGGAAATTAATTCCATGCTTTTTAATAATGTTTCCCAATGGCAGCATGTAGAGAGTAAAAAGAATCGGTCCGAGTACCGAACCCTGCGGCACACCGAATTCTACTCCAGAATAAGGTGACGAGTTCTGATTTACGTTGACGAAGTGATACCGATCTGATAAATAGGATTTAAACCAGCCAAGGGCTGTTCCTCTAAGACCTATATCACATTCTAGCCTCTGCAGTAGAATGCTGTGGTCTATTGTGTCAAATGCAGCACTAAGGTCCAGTAGGACCAGCACTGACACTTGTCCATTATCGGCAGCTAGTAGTAAGTCATTTGTGACTTACTACTAGTTTACTACAGTTTTCTGACGTCCTGTTTTAAAGTGTGGAGTTGAACACTGTACCAGGGCGACAATGATCTAATCCTAATAGTTTTCTGTTTTAAAGGAGCTGCTGCATTTAATGCAGATTTTAAAGACTCCATAGTGTTGTCCACCGTTTGGTCAATGACTGAGGGACTGCAGCAGCTGTGAACAGGTTCACCTGCAGCAGTATTCAACATAGGCTGTATTAGTTCTTTGAACCTTGTGATAGATTTATCATTTAAGGTTCTTTTCATTATGGTTTTATCTTGCGGGACAGGAAAGTCCTCCAAATCGAGATCAAACGTGATCAAGAAATGGTCAGACAGCAACGAGCTTTGACGCTGGATGTCAACATTGGAGACATCACAGCCGTAGGTCAGGACAAGGTCCAAGGTGTGGTTATGAATGTGAGTAGGTTCCTCAACATTCTGAGTAAAACCAACACCATCTAGTACGGCGCTGAAAGCTTTGTTTAAGCTGTCAGTGCTGTCGTCCACATGTATATTGAAGTCTCCAGTTATAACTATGTTTTCCCATTCCAAAACTAGGTTTGAAATGAAGTCAGAGAATTCTGTTAGGAACTCACTGTAAGGACCAGGAGGTCGGTATAAAACTATAAATAGTACCGCTTTTTGTTTTCTCCACCCAGGACAGGTGATTGAAAGTGTTAAGTTTTCAAACGAGTGAAAAGCGTTGTTGGTTTTGGGACTAAGAACCAAGTTGGTGTGTGATATAATCGCAACACCACCGCCGCGACCTGTAGCTCTGGCTTTCTGGTAGTTAACATGCGTCGGAGGAGTGCACTCATTCAATCTAACGTACTCGTCCTGTTGGAGCCAAGTCTCCGAGAGCGCTAACAGATCCAAGCCCTTGTCTATAATAAGTTCGTTTATGAGAAGCGATTTAGACGAGATTGATCTGACGTTCATTAAACCACATTTAACAACCCTACTGTTAGAACTATTTCTGTCTGTCTGAACTTTTATTAAGTTACTGTGTCTGACACCTAGGTCAGATTTCCTCATATAGTGCTTTAGACTTCAAGCGGGGAACACACACAGTTTCAATCTGACGAGGTTCTGAGGCTAGTAACTGATGGGGGCTCAGAGGTATGGAGCTATTATTGTTTCAATAATATTTTGGGTGCGTAAACAGATTTGTGTGTGCGTAAACAGATTTGTGTGTGCGTAAAAAGATTTGTGCGTGCGTAACCAGATTTGTGTGTGTGTAAAATAAATATTTGTGCGTGTGTAAATAGATATGTATGTACGTATCAAGATTTGTGTGTGCGTAAAAAGATTTGTGTGTGCGTAACCAGATTTGTGTGTGTGTAAAATAAATATTTGTGCGTGTGTAAATAGATTTGTATGTACGTATCAAGATTTGTGTGTGCGTAGAAAGATTTGTGTGTGTGAAAAAAAAAAAAGTTTTTTTTTACACATGAATCTTTTGACGCAGTCCTGCCTTCGCAGATTTGCAAGTGTAACTTGGACTGTGTGCGTGCGTAAACAGATTTGTGTGTAATTTGACATCTGTATCTGTAACAGAACAATCTGTGTGTAAATAACCACGTTGTACGATGAGAAGAACGGACAAAAGCCTCAGTGCTACAGGCTCTGTTTTACACACGAATCTCTTTTTGACACACCTCTGCCGCTTAGCGTGTTTTAAAAAGATTTGTAAGTGTAATGTGGTTGTTCTAGCAGTACACCAGCAGATGGTGCTGTTGTAGCTGGTTATTACCTACATGCAAGCAAACCAGCAGAGTTTGTGGCACTTAAGTGTATATTTTAATGAAAACCGAAGGATTTAAGAAGAAAAGTTCAGGATGACAAGGGACACAAAATCCGACCTTTATGAAAGCTGTAGGTTCTCTGTCTTCTGTTTTAGTTTACATTGAGTTCTATGGGGAAAATTTCTGTGTAGCCCACGTGAATTTAGTTTGCAGTACGCGAGAATCCCTCAGCTCCAAGCTAGTACCACCCTATCCAGTTATTATAATAGATCCATGTATAATACAGTGGTGGGAATGACAGGATTTTGAATATAGGAAAACAATATCATAAACAGCTGCAGTAGTGTGTCTTGTCAAAGCAGTAGGTTTTGGTTTGCTTGCGTGTAGATAATAACCAGCTACAACAGCACCATCTGCTGGTGTACTGCTAGAACAACCACATTACACTTACAAATCTTTTTGACACACACTTGGCGGCAGAGGTGTGTCAAAAAGAGATGTGTGTAAAACAGAGCCTGTAGCACTGAGGCTTTTTTCCTTCTTCTCTTCGTACAACGTGGTTATTTACACACAGATTGTTCTGTTACAGATGTCAAATTACACAAAGGCAGGACTGCGTCAAAAGATTCGTGTGTAAAAAGAAAACTTGCGTGTAAAATGTCCTTTTTTTTTTTTACACACACACAAATCTTGATACGTACATACAAATCTATTTACACGCGCACAAATATTTCTTTTACACACACACAAATCTGGTTACCCACGCACAAATCTTTTTACGTACACACAAATCTAGTTACGCACACACAAATCTTTTTATGCACACACAAATATTATTGAAACAATAATAGCTCCATAAGAGGTTGTGGCAGAGCAGCTCTGCACCCGGGCCTCAGTTCTGCATCGTCATTCGAGCCGGGCAGAACAGTTTAGAGCCAGGGCCAAATTCTTAGCCAAAAGGGATGTACCCGCCAACGTTGGGTGGATATCATCCGAGCGGATGAGACCGGGCTTTCCCCAAAAGGCACTCCAATTGTCAACATGAACAACACCACTTCGAGGGCACCAGCCAGACAGCCAGCGGTTGAAAGCCGAGTGTCTGCTGAATGCTTCTGCACTGCTAGTGCTAGGTAGGGGCCCAGAGAAGATGACAGTGTCGGCCATTGTGCTAGGTAGGGGCCCAGAGAAGATGACGGTGTCGGCCATTGTGCTAGGTAGGGGCCCAGAGAAGATGACGGTGTCGGCCATTGTGCTAGGTAGGGGCCCAGAGAAGATGACGGTGTCGGCCATTGTGCTAGGTAGGGGCCCAGAGAAGATGACGGTGTCGGCCATTGTGCTAGGTAGGGGCCCAGAGAAGATGACGGTGTCGGCCATTGTGCTAGGTAGGGGCCCAGAGAAGATGACAGTGTCGGCCATTGTGCTAGCCAGCTTGCACACGGCGGCGACTTGCAGCTTCAACACCTCGGACTGTTTCCGCCGAACGTCATTACCACCCGCGTGAATAACAATTTGACGGAAACGCTGCTTGTGGGTCATCATGAGCCTCAGATTCCCTTCAATATCACCAAGCCTGGCCCCAGGGAAGCACCGAACAGTGGCTCCTGGGATCTTAACACCTCTAACAATAGAGGAGCCAATTACCAGCGCATCAGCAACTCCAGCGGCTCTCTCAGCAGCTCTCTCAGCGGCTCTCTCAGCAGCTCTCTCAGCGGCTCTCTCAGCGGCTCTCTCAGCAGCTCTCTCAGCAGCTCTCTCAGCGGCTCTCTCAGTGGGGCCTTCTTCCCCGACCAGAGCGTCCCAGCGATTGTAAATGCTAACAGGAGGAGGCCCGATGGGGAAACTACCAACAACACGTGGCCCTCTCCGAACAGTCACAAAGCCATCACTATCCTGGTCTTGTCCCAGCTGCGGAGGACGGGCTGGGAGGCTAGGCTCGCTAGTTCTCCTCTGCCTTTCCCTAAAGCTGCGATCCGCTGTCCCTGAGGATACGGCCTGGCTGTAGCTAATGCTAGCGCTAGCTCGAGACTCCAGTGCTCGGAGACGCAGCTCTAACTCACTGACCCTGGATTCCAGAGCTACGACTACACTACACTTCACACATCTATCACTACCCTCAGAGAAGGATCCAGGGTTTAGACTCGCCATATGGCAACTCGAGCAGTAAAGGACTGAGGGAGAGACAGCAGCCGCCATAGGAGTAGTGAGTTAGCGGCTAGTCTAGGCTAAGCTAGTCCGGATCCGGGCCCGCACAACAGACTCCGAGACCAGACAAACAACCGCTACCTAAACCTCAGCTGCAGTACAGCTGACTCAGAGTGCTTACACAGTTAGCTTGGTGTACACTACATGGATTTGTGATGTGTTTGTTAGAGCAGAGAGCAGAGTGATAGTAGTCAAGAAACACGCTCACCGGATACAGGAAGTCACAACCACAGGAAGTGCAATGAGTTAATGGTTGGCACTAGATCATAAACGGAATCGGGACGAAACCGGAAGCAACAATCCTACTTTCTAATTATTTTTAGACTAAAAAGTCCTTAAATGGTGACCGGTTAAGTTTTAGGCGTCTGCGTAAGATGGGTAAGGTTAGGGTTAAGGGTGGGTTGGGGTTATTTTATGAGAATGGCTAGTCAAGTTCAGGCATTAATAGGTAGTTTGTTATATTTACTTCCGCTTCCGTCCCGATTCCATATATGATCTAGTGCTGACCATGAGTTAATAGACATTGAACCAGTCCGGCCCTCGGCTCGCAGCAAATTTGTTTTTTTGGCTCTCTGATGTATTTGACTTTGACATGCCTGACCTAGACCCTAGAGTTGAACAATGTATTATAGTTTTGTGCTAATCAGACTTTGTGCAAACGGGAGCAAATTTAATGTTGTCAAAACGGCCAAAAAAGGTCACATTTTGCAGCTCCGCTGCTCAAACAATGTTGCACTGATCAAAAATCCCTGAGGTCATTTTGAAGGTACATGTGTTGAGATGATGTGGAGCGATTTTGAGGCGAATCGGTGAAACGGTCGAGGAGGAGTCGCTTTCCAACCGTCATGTATGAAAACTTTTGCTGCTCATTTTTCCATTTTGCAGTGAAATCTATGGGCTTCCTGTTTGTCAGAGGGCGGGGCCATAATAATATTTTTTTCATGTCTTGACTTGAGGAACACGTGTACCAAATTTCATGGCTCTACGACAAACTTGATATTCAAAAGTCCCATAGGGGTATTATTTTGGCTGTTGTAGGTGGCGCTGTTCTGGCATTTTTTGAGTCCCATAAAAATGAACACCAAATTATTATATGACTTGAACCGTACGTGCTCTCTGATCGGCTGATTACCGGTCTGATATTTTCCCATCTCGGACCGTTACCATGACAATTGGTCCGAACAGCGCGTATCATATTTGATGTCTTTCCACGGACCGTTACCATGACAATCTGTCCACAGCCCGTATCACACAAAACCAAGTCGGACATGAACATACTTCACAAATATCTCAAAAGCATTGGTAAAGACACAGACGAGAGTCGTATAATAACATTTATTAACCTCACTTGCTCGGTCTGTGCAGAGAAATGAAGCTTTGAGTAAGTTCACACTGGTAGACCCGGCCTGCTGCCCAGCTCCTCCAGGCCTGCTCTCATCCTCGGCTCATCGCACAGCAACACCCACTTCCAGTCAACCAATAACCGCCAGGCCAGCAAGTTAAAAGCCGGAGACGCCCACTTCCCGGCCTTAATCAAATAAACTTCTTACTGAATCGTCCAATCCTGTCTCTCCACAGACTTACTGAATCGTCCAATCCTGTCTCTCCACAGACTTACTGAATCGTCCAATCCTGTCTCTCCACAGACTTACTGAATCGTCCAATCCTGTCCCTCGTGGTGGCGGTGGGGGTCTCCCAGGTGGAGGACCAGGTGGAGGTCCAGGCAGTGCGGGTGCAGTTGGGGTCTCAGTTCTTGGTCCAGTGCTCGGTGAAGCCTCAGTTCCCAGGAGGCTCCTTCCAGCTGCTCTCTCCCTCTGGGAACCACACCCTGCCTGCTGTCAATCACTCTGCCCACTTCCTGTTCAATCACACTGGCCCCGCCCACAAAGGAAACTACACCTGTGTTTACCACCTACAGGTGTTCAACCACAGCTTCACCTCCGAGAGCGAGAGGCTGGAGCTGAGGCTGGGAAGTACGCCAATACTCTACCGTCACATGACCGTCACAGGACCGTCACATGACCGTCACAGGACCTTCACATGACCGTCACATGACAGTCACAGGACCTTCACATGACCGTCACAGGACCTTCACATGACCGTCACATGACCGTTACAGGACCTTCACATGACCGTCACATGACAGTCACAGGACCTTCACATGACCGTCACATGACCGTTACAGGACCTTCACATGACCGTCACATGACAGTCACAGGACCTTCACATGACCGTCACAGGACCTTCACATGACCGTCACATGACCGTTACAGGACCTTCACATGACCGTCACATGACAGTCACAGGACCGTCACATGACAGTCACAAGACCGTCACAGGACCGTCACATGACAGTCACAAGACCGTCACGTGACCGTCACAGGACCGTCACAGGACCGTCACATGACCGTCACGTGACCGTCACAGGACCGTCACATGACCGTCACGTGACCGTCACAGGACCGTCACGTGACCGTCACAGGACCGTCACAGGACCGTCACAGGACCGTCACGTGACCGTCACAGGACCGTCACAGGACCGTCACGTGACCGTCACAGGACCCTCACAGGACCGTCACAGGACCGTCACAGGACCGTCACAGGACCGTCACATGACCGTCACGTGACCTCACAGGACCCTCACAGGACCGTCACAGGACCGTCACAGGACCGTCACAGGACCCTCACAGGACCGTCACATGACCGTCACGTGACCGTCACAGGACCCTCACAGGACCGTCACATGACCGTCACGTGACCGTCACAGGACCCTCACAGGACCGTCACAGGACCGTCACATGACCGTCACATGACCAACACATGACCGCCACATGACCAACACATGACCGTCACATGACCAACACATGACCGTCACATGACCAACACATGACCGTCACAGGACAGTCACATGACCACTGTGAGCACCAGTCCAAACTGTCAGTTAGAGAAAGTGTGACATCACCCTTCACAGTTCAGTTTCTGGAAATAAAAATAAAGTGTTTTTTATGAAAAAGGAAAAAGAGAAATGTTGTTTTTTTCTGTTGCAGCTTTAGACTCAGACCTGATCATCAGGGTCCTGATGATTCTCCTGCTGAAGCTGCTGTACATCCTCCCATTGTACTGCAAGGTAGGACTACTGCTACTACTACTGCTACTACTGCTACTGCTACTGCTACTACTGCTACTGCTACTGCTACTACTGCTACTGCTACTGCTACTACTGCTACTACTACTGCTACTGCTTCTACTACTGTAACTTCTGCTACTACTACTGCTACTACTACTACTACTACTACTGCTACTTCTGCTACTACTACTGCTACTTCTGCTACTACTACTACTAGTACTGCTACTACTACTACTACTAGTACTGCTACTACTACTACTACTAGTACTGCTACTGCTACTACTGCTAGTACTGCTACTACTACTACTACTGCTACTACTGCTAGTACTGCTACTACTACTACTACTAGTACTTCTACTACTACTAGTACTGCTACTACTACTACAACTAGTACTGCTACTACTGCTAGTACTGCTACTACTACTACTACTGCTACTACTACTACTAGTAGTACTGCTACTGCTACTGCTACTACTACTACTGCTACTACTACTACTACTACAGATACTCTGCTGTATCACAGACTCAAACAGGAACATGGACAAAGCAGAGACAGACATTTTGGCACTGATGAACCCTTTACTGATTCTAACCTCTGAGCTTTGTCTTGTTTCAGGTCAAAAGAGGCTCTCGACGGACGGACCGTCTGTGAGGGTCCTGGGTCAGACCTGGGTCGGACCTGGGTCAGACCTCTGGTTCAGACCTGGTTCAGACCTGGGTCAGACCTGGGTCAGACCTGGTTCAGACCCGGTTCAGACCCTATAAAATAATGTATTTAGGAAAACTGCTTTGCTTTAGAAGCTTTGTTTAACTTTGACCACAAGATGGAGACAGTGAGACCAAAGACACCGTCCTGAAGCTGGTCCTGGTTCATCACTGGTTCCTCACTGGTTCATTGCTGGTTCATTGCTGGTTCTTGAAGCTCATTTGCCTTTGTCGCTTATGAAATAAACTTTAATTTGGAGCTTGGTCTCAGCATCAGAGACGTATTCCTGTGTTTTTATGTTTATTAGGCCCAAGCCCCGAACGGGGGTAAGGGCCTATTGCTTTCACAATGGTGAAAACAAATGGTGGCGGTCCGTCACGCACCACAACGTGACGGTTGCGTGCGTAAACGAATTGCAGCTGGCATATTCATAGATTCAAAAAAGGCATTTGACACAATAAATCACGAAATATTACTTAAAAAATTGGAACAATATGGGATTAGGGGTGTGGCTTTAAGTTGGATAAACAGCTATTTAAAACAAAGAACTCAGTTTGTGAAGTTAGGAGAACACTGCTCTACACAAGTGGACATGGTGTGTGGTCTGCCACAGGGGTCTGTGTTAGGACCAAAATTATTTATTCTGTTCATAAATGACTTGTGTAAAGTGTCTAGTTTGTTTAAAGCGGTCTTATTTGCAGATGACACAAATTTATTCTGTTGTGGAAATAATTTATCGAAATTAATTACTGATATTGAAAATGAGATGTTGAAACTTAAAATATGGTTTGACAATAATAAGCTATCTTTAAACTTAAACAAAACTAAATTAATGCTGTTTGGAAATGTCAATAAAGACAAACAGGTACATTTACAAATACAAGGAGTAAACATAGAGCATGTAAAGGAAACCAAATTTTTAGGAGTGATTATAGATGAAAAGATCAATTGGAAAGCACATATAAAATACATCCACAACAAAATATCCAAAAGTGTAGCAATACTCAACAAGGTCAAATGTGTTCTGGATCATCCCTCATTGCGCATGCTTTACTGTTCACTTGTTTTGCCATATTTCACATACTGTGCGGAAATATGGGGAAACAACTACACTTCTACAGTACAGCCTTTGGTCAATCTGCAAAAAAGAGCCATACGAGTTATCCACAATGCCAGCTATCGAGAACATACCAATCCGCTATTTATTCATGCAAAACTACTCAAACTAAATGATTTAGTATCCTACCAAACTGCACAAGTCATGTATAAAGCTAAAAGAAAACAATTACCAGGAAGCATTCAAAGGCTTTATTGTGAAAGTGAAAGACTCTATAATTTAAGAGGAACATTTAATTTCAAAGTGCCTTATGCTAGAACAGCAAAGAAAAGTTTTTGTGTATCTGTATGCGGAGTAAAATTATGGAATCGTATGGAAGCTTGCTTAAAACTTTGCCATAATATTCATAATTTCAAAAAATTATTTAAAAGACAGTTATTTTGTAGATATCCAACAGAAGCATTGTAATATTTATATGAAGATTTGATTATTTTCTTGTGTGTTGTTGTTGGATAATCTTTAAGTCTTGAGGTAGTAAAGGGAAGTCGAAAGGTTTTTTTGTTGTGGTTTTGTTAAAAGTAGAAAAGGGGGCGGGGTTACATAAGTATTTATACTTCTTCCTGCTCCCTTTCGGACATGATTGTTTATTTTATTTATTCCTTAAGGGGAAAAATTGTACATACATTGTACACATATAGGTTTTTTTTGTGTGTTTTTTGTTTGTTTGTATTTATTTATATTATTTTATATTGTCCGAATTAAGACTCATTATCATTATCATTATCATTATCATTAAACTCAAACGCTTTAATATGATGTATCACGTGCCATTGAAACCTATATTGTTTTTGCTCGAGACGTCAACAAAAATTCCTTTTTTATTTATTTATTTATTAGGCCCGAGCCCCGAAGGGGGTAAGAGCCTATTGCTTTCACAATAGTGAATGCAAATGGTGGCGGTCCGTGACGGACGCGTCAGCCACAACGTGACGGTTGCGTGCGTAAACTCAAATGCTTTAAAATGATGTATTATTATATGACTTGGACCGTACGCGCGCTCTGATTGGCTGATTACCGGTCTGATATTTTCCCATCTCGGACCGTTACCATGACAATTGGTCCGAACAGCGCGTATCACATTTGATATCTTTCCTCGGGCCGTTACCATGACAATCTGTCCGCAGCCCGTATCACACAAAACCAAGTCGGACATGAACATACTTCACAAATATCTCAAAAGCATTGGTAAAGACACAGACGAGAGTCATATAATAAAACATTTATTAACCTCGCTTGCTCGGTCTGTGCAGAGAAATATCAGACCTTGGCCTTTTTGCACAGACCTCGCCACGGCTCGGTCTGTGCATTAAGGCTCGGTCTGTGCATTAAGGCTCGGTCTGTGCATTAAGGCTCGGTCTGTGCATTAAGGCTCGGTCTGTGCATTAAGGCTCGGTCTGTGCATTAAGGCTCGTCTGGCATTAAGGCTCGGTCTGTGCATTAAGGCTCGGTCTGTGCATTAAGGCTCGGTCTGTGCATTAAGGCTCGGTCTGTGCATTAAGGCTCGGTCTGTGCATTAAGGCTCGGTCTGTGCATTAAGGCTCTCGGTCTGTGCATTAAGGCTCGGTCTGTCATTAGCCGTCTGTACATTAAGGCTCGGTCTGTGCATTAAGGCTCGGTCTGTGCATTAAGGCTCGGTCTGTACATTAAGGCTCGGTCTGTGCATTAAGGCTCGGTCTGTGCATTAAGGCTCGGTCTGTACATTAAGGCTCGGTCTGTACATTAAGGCTCGGTCTGTGCATTAAGGCTCGGTCTGTGCATTAAGGCTCGGTCTGTGCATTAAGGCTCGGTCTGTGCATTAAGGCTCGGTCTGTGCATTAAGGCTCGGTCTGTGCATTAAGGCTCGGTCTGTGCATTAAGGCTCGGTCTGTGCATTAAGGCTCGGTCTGTACATTAAGGCTCGGTCTGTACATTAAGGCCGCAGTCTGATATTTCTCCATACAGACCTCGCGCTCGGTTAATAAGTCGTTATTACGTGCCATTGAAACCTATATTGTTTTTGCTCGAGACGTCAAATAAAAATTCCTTTTTTATTGATTTTTTTATTTTTTTTTATTTTTTCTTCTGCACTTTGAGCCTTTATTTGACCCCCTGATTATGCATGAAAAGTTGTAAAATTTCAAAAATCAGACCTGGCGAAAAATTTGATATTAACGGCCAAGGTCTGATATTTCATCCTGGAGAGACCCACAACAGGGAATGCAATTATAAGTTTATTTGATTAAGGCCGGGAAGTGGGCGTCTCCGGCTTTTAACTTGCTGGCCTGGGGGTTATTGGTTGACTGGAAGTGGGTGTTGCTGTGCGATGAGCCGAGGATGAGAGCAGGCCTGGAGGAGCTGGGCAGCAGGCCGGGTCTACCAGTGTGAACTTACTCAAAGCTTCATTTCTCTGCACAGACCGAGCAAGTGAGGTTAATAAATGTTATTATACGACTCTCGTCTGTGTCTTTACCAATGCTTTTGAGATATTTGTGAAGTATGTTCATGTCCGACTTGGTTTACTGTGATACGGGCTGTGGACAGATTGTCATGGTAACGGTCCGAGGAAAGATATCAAATGTGAAACGCGCTGTTCGGACCAATTGTCATGGTAACGGTCCGAGATGGGAAAATATCAGACCGGTAATCAGCCAATCAGAGAGCACGTACGGTTCAAGTCATATAATAATTTGGTGTTCATTTTTATGTGTGTCGCCCACACATAAATAACCACGTTGTACGAAGAGAAGAAGGAAAAAAGCCTCAGTGCTACAGGCTCTGTTTTACACACATCTCTTTTTGACACACCTCTCTGCCGCCAAGTGTGTGCCAAAAAGATTCGTAAGTGTAATGTGGTTGTTCTAGCAGTACACCAGCAGATGGTGCTGTTGGAGCTGGTTATTACCTACACGCAAGCAAACCAAAACCTACTGCTTTGACAAGACACACTACCACAGCTGTTTATGATATTTTTTTCCTATTGTCAAAATCCTGTCATTCACACCACTGTATTATACATGGATCTATTATAATAACTGGATAGGGTGGTACTAGCTTGGAGCTGAGGGATTCTCACGTACTGCAAACTAAATTCACGTGGGCTACACAGATATGTTCCCCATTGAACTCAATATAAACTAAAACAGCTGACAGAGAACCTGACAGAGAACCTACAGCTTTCATAAATGTCGGATTTTGTGGGAATTTTAGTGTCCCTTGTCATCCTGAACTTTTCTTCTTAAATCCTTCGGTTTTCATTAAAATATACACTAAAGCCTAAGTTATACTCGCGCGGCGCGGAGCTTACGGAGGTGACTTGACGTCACTTGCACAACACGTTGGTCACCGCAAGGCCCTTACGTTGCCTGCCGCGCAGCAGCGAAATTTTCTAACTACGTAAGGATCGCCGCAAGGAAGCTCCGCTGTGATTGGCCTGTGTTTGATCACGTGTATTTGCTGGGCGGCATCTAGCTCTGTGCTTTGAGCGCCATTTTTAAATCACCATGGACCACGTAGAGGAGAGGCTGTGTGAAGAGGTTCGCAGATATGTTCATATCTACGACGCCAATTCCCGGGACTACAAAGACGCCCAGATGACCGGAGATTCGTGGCGTGAAATCTCCCAGACGTTAGGAATGGATGTGGCGGAGTGCCAACGACGGTGGAAGCTGGTGCGGGACAAATTCGTCCGTCTGAAAAAGAAGATGGTCGGACGAAGTGGGGATGCCGGCGACGGACAGAAAGTGCCCGGGTTATTTCATAGTCTGTCCTGGTTAACCCCATACGTGAGGCACCGTGAGCTACCGACCTCCACAAATGTGACGGTAAACTATTTTAAATCTGTTGTTTTACTCGAGAGGCAAAAAGTGAGATACTGGCTACCATGCTAGCCAGCATGCTAACCAGCACTACCGAAGTATAGTTGGTTTTACGTCGTCACAGCGCCAGACAAATGTTCAAGACAAAATATCAAATGCAAAATCAGAGTACTATACTAAAGTTTTAGTTGTTACAGAACAACTATGATGTATTTTTCTTCGGGTTAACGTGATTGGGATGTAGCTCTATTGTAGTGTAGCCAATATTTTGCCTGTCAGAGTAAAGTATACTAGATTCAGGTCAAATTCTGTCCATGCAACGGTAATTTAATTAATTTATGACCTGAAGTCCTTTTGGAAAAAATGCATCAAATTGTCTTTAAGCTAGCAGTAATGAAAATTACAGTGCAATCTGAAATTTTTTCCTATGTGTTTGTGCAACAGCCCGCCAACAGACCACTTCCCCATGGCATAGATGCACTGTCTACCAGCTCCTCCACGTTACCCTCCACCAGCTTTTCAAGGGGACCCTCCGTCAGCTCCTTGGCAGGACCCTCCACCAGCTCTTTGGAGGGGAATGAGGACGGCTCTGAGCGGGTGGGTGAGCCTACACGGAGCAGTACACCCGTTCAATCTCCGCCCCCCACGTCTTCGCTCAGGCCACCACGCTCCTCAGTGAAGAGGAAGACTTTCGACGGACAGACGTGGTGGATGCAAGAGATGCAGGCACTGGAAAAGCGTCGTCAAGCAACCCAGGAAGCTCTCCTGGCCGCGGTCGATGACGAGGCACAGTTTGGTGCCCAAATGGCCGCGGCACTCCGAAGGGTGCCGAGAGAGAAGCAACTTGGGCTGGTCAAGTTCTTCTTGGACCGGGCTTACGAAGCAGCTCTTGATGATTGACACTTGAACTGTAAATGCACATTTTTTTGCACCTTATTTGAGTTTGCACTATGTTGAAAATCACTTTTTTTGATTATCAATCTTTTTTGGCTTGTTTGTGCACAAATACACTTTTTATTAAAACATTTTTTCCTACAAGAACTGTCATTAATCACCACATCACACAAATTAGTTATGAGACAATGAGTGTATAATATTTGTATAGTGTCAAATATAAATGACAAATCAACCGTTGAGTGAAGTCAAACACAGTTTTTGGTGAATAGATAATTCGATGTCTGTCCACATCAAGGCAGATCAAAGGGAGGTAATAGCACTCATTCTGTTTCTGTCCACAAAATGGAGACCAAGTTGATTACCATGGAACAGCTAAAAGGTGTACAGCCAATGGTTTTTACTTTGGCGTCAGAATTCATAGTTATCACTTAACTTTCAGGAACACAGACACTGGATAGTATTATGATTTTGCATTGACAGAAGTATGCACAATCAGAATCATTTTTGCCACGTAAGTAACAGGAAGTCAGACTTGGAAATTGCTTTGGCTCAGTGCAACAGTCAGAGATAATAAAAATAAAGAAACACTTCTAAGGAATACATTGAAAAGAGTTACTATTTACAATATACAAGTGCACATGGTGCACACAATGTAAGGTGACAATAGTACAGTTAAGTGGTGTGTATTATGTAAGTTAAAGGAACTAAACACCAGGAACTAAAAATGTCAGAATAGGAGCACATGCTTCCCATATCTGCAAGTGGGTGCAGTGCTCCCTATACGGCACAGAATGTTAAAAAAAAAAGTCAATACATTATATTGAGCCATACAAACACTAAATGACATCTGATTGGAATTGGTAATAAGTGCCTAGCCACTTTGGATTATTGGGGTAGTGTATGTACTGCAGGTATAGATCATAGGTAAAATGGTTTATAACAGTTTAAAATTCAGATTTTACCCCATACAGGAAACTAGACAGATTACAATGATTATGTATGATGCAAACATACTGCTGCTAATGTACAGATGCTAACATCCTGCTGCTAGCCTAACCACACTCTACTTGCACTATAATACACAGTACTTTATAATGTTAAGCTTTTACTCTTTTCAAGACAGAGTTTCAAATACTTATTGATGCTACATTTGAAGATTGGTTTATTTTAATTAGGGCAGCTATTAACGTGTGCTCCTCTTTCCTACTGTTCTCTAACTTGTGATGCAACACTGACATTTCCCCACTGTGGGACTAAATTACAATGCATGCTGTGTATCACCTCCCTAATAAAGTGTAATGTTCAATAAAAGTCTAGGGAAAAGTGCAACATCAGTTTAAAGACAGCTTTTATCAGTAGATGTGTTATGACAGGTGGTCAAAAACTGTGTGCGGGTGGTTGAATCGATTTGTTGACCAGTGTTGACATACTATGCAGGGCAGTGTAGTGCTCAGAAAATAACCTCGCTGGATTTTTTTACCAACAGTCTTTATTGTGCACAATATGAAAATCAAACACAATCGATTGGTCCATGTGGGGATGAGCAAATACATGCTAATGCTCTACAGGATTGAGCAGTCCTCGCCGTACGATGTCGTACTGCCATGGCACCATTCCAATGTCAGAAGTGAAAAAGGCGGTGAGATCTGTTCGCACAGCCCTGGCTGCCCGTGTGGACCGTGCACGGGTTAGCTGATGGGGGGCGAGTTTCTCCAGGCCGTTGCTTCCTGCAGTGACTCTTTGCCACTCACCCTCTTGTAGCTGTCCCACTGTGTCCACATCAACAAATGAGGGCGTTATGTAGCGGCAGGGTTCAGTGTTGCCCTCATCAGTGTAGGTGAGGTAGTTTGTAGCACCACACAGGCCTTCACAATTGTTTTGGCTTTCTCTGGAAGGGCTTCGAGGGGCCGTCCAAGGATTCGCCATCTTGCCACCATAATCCCAAACGTGTTCTCAATGATCCTCCTGGCTCTGGACAAGCGGTAGTTGAATACCTTCTTCTCCTCAGATAGGGCTGCCCCTACAATTACATAAGATAGTTATCAATACATGTAATGGTTATTATTTCCAATACAAACCTCACATAAAATAACTTTAAGCACTACTTGGTCAACATACCATTTAAGAAGCAGAACATACAACACATGCAAATGATAAGAACGTACCAGGGTATGGCCGCATCAGATTGTTGTGGAGAGGGAAGGCAGCATCACCGACGAGGACGTGGGGCAACTGGACTGTTGTCCCAGGAAGAATAGCTGGCGGGGGGAGGTTGGCCTCGTGGTTCAGCAGCATGGATCCCAAGACGCTCTCCCTGAATACTCCCCCGTCACTCTCCCGACCATATGCTCCAACATCCACTGTGGTGAACCTGTACCTCGCGTCGCACGTGGCCATCAGGACAATGGAATGGCTTCACTTGTAATTGAAGTAGTTGCTTCCAGCACGCGGGGGGGCACGAATATTCACATGTTTGCCATCCAAACTACCGAAACAATTAGGGAAGTTCCAAAGCCTCCAAAAATCGGCAGCGACAGTCTGCCACTGGGCTACAGTCGGAGATGGCAGAAAATCTTCCTGTAGTGCCTTCCACAATGCCTCGCATGTCTCAGTCACAATCCTGGAGGCTGTGGAGCTAGCCATCCTGTAACTAGCAGACAATGCCTGCTGGCTGCTTCCACTAGCCAAGAACCTCAGAGTCACAGCCAATCGTTCGTGCAAGGTAATCGGATACTTGTGAGTGTTCTGGTGGCGAATATGGGGTCTCAGTCTATGTGCCAAATCATCGAACTTGCTTGCAGACATCCTGAAGTAGGTAAAATGCATCTGTTCGTCCATGTCTCGAAGCGGCTGAATCAGACTGGTGTACTCCCCACTGATTGGCCGGGGCACATTCAGCGGTCGCACATACCATCTACGTCTGCGGCGCGTACGCCTGAAATACATATTGTAGGCGATTCGAAGCATTTCTTCATCGATCTCCAACAGCTCTCGCAGTAGCACAACTTGTCTGGTTGCCATAGTTGTTTTGAAGAGGAGGAAGTAGCTAGCGGAACTTTATAGTGGGACCCAGGCAAATCTTGTGAGATGGCCACCGTGTGGATAGGGGGTGGGATTACAACATCTTTTCGGAATTCAGCAAGGGGGGGTCTATGGGGGTTAACGCGTAAGTAACACACCAAGAGTGCTTACGTAGGTCCACCGCAACCGCTAACGTAAGCCGCGCCGCGCAAGTATAACTTAGGCTTTAAGTGCCACAAACTCTGCTGGTTTGCTTGCGTGTAGGTAATAACCAGCTACAACAGCACCATCTGCTGGTGTACTGCTAGAACAACCACATTACACTTACGAATCTTTTTAAAACACGCTAAGCGGCAGAGGTGTGTCAAAAAGAGATGTGTGTAAAACAGAGCCTGTAGCACTGAGGCTTTTTTCCGTTCTTCTCTTCGTACAACGTGGTTATTTACACACAGATTGTTCTGTTACAGATACAAATGTCAAATTACACACAAATCTGTTTACGCACGCACACAGTCCAAGTTACACTTGCAAATCTGCGAAGGCAGGACTGCGTCAAAAGATTCGTGTGTAAAAAAAAACTTGTGTGTAAAACATACTTTTTTTTTTTCACACACACAAATCTTTCTACGCACACACAAATCTTTTTACGCACACACAAATCTTGATACGTACATACAAATCTATTTACACACGCACAAATATTTATTTTACACACACACAAATCTGGTTACGCACGCACAAATCTTTTTACGCACACACAAATCTGTTTACGCACACACAAATCTGTTTACGCACACACAAATATTATTCATTCTCATCCCTTTATAATCCATTTCTGGGTCAGGGGGGCGGCAGTCAGAGTTGCCACCCAATTCACACAGCACCAGTCCCTCGCTGATCCTCCTGCAGGTGGTGGGTCCACGGGAAGATGGCTGTTCCTTCATCACAGATACGGCCTTGATCTTTCAGCGGGGACTTCAGGCAAAGTGGGGTTAAGTGTCTTGCCCAGGGACACAACGACAGCCGATATCAGTGGGAGCAGATGACATGGGTCGTGGACACAAATATTATTGAAACAATAATAGCTCCATACCTCTGAGCCCCCATCTGTTCAGTTACTAGCCTCAGAAGCTAGTCAGATTGAAACTGTGTGTGTGTGTGTGTGTGTGTGTGTGTGCATGTGTGTGTGTGCCTGTGTGTGCTCAGTTACTAGCCTCAGAACCTAGTCAGATTGAAACTGTGTGTGTTCCTCGCTTGAAGTCTAAAGCACTATATGAGGAAATCTGACCTAGGTGTCAGACACAGTAACTTAATAAAAGTTCAGACAGACAGAAATAGTTCTAACAGTAGGGTTGTTAAATGTGGTTTAATGAACGTCAGATCAATCTCGTCTAAATTGCTTCTCATAAACAAACTTATTATAGACAAGGGCTTGGATTTGTTTGCGCTCTCGGGGACTTGGCTCCAACAGGACGACTACGTTAGATTGAATGAGTGCACTCCTCCGACGCATGTTAACTACCAGAAAGCCAGAACTACCAGAAAGCCAGAGCTACAGGTCGCGGCGGTGGTGTTGCGATTATATCACACACCAACTTGGTTCTTAGTCCCAAAACCAACAATGCTTTTCACTCGTTTGAAAACTTAACACTTTCAATCACCTGTCCTGGGTGGAGAAAACAAAAAGCAGTACTATTTATAGTTTTATACCGACCTCCTGGTCCTTACAGCGAGTTCCTAACAGAATTCTCTGACTTCATTTCAAACCTAGTTTTGGAATATTGTGACTATGACTATCTGAAATCCGAAACCAGATTCTGAAAGAATAGACTGTCTACTTTCATCATCAAAAAGAATTTTGTTTCCAGCTTGTAATCCCCAGTTGAGTAGAGGTAAGTTTTACTGAAATCACCAAAAAGCTGAGAAAAAAGATGCACAACAAGTGCATCTAACTGTTTTCAAACAATTCAGAGAACGCTGCTGCCACCTGCTGGCTCAGGAAAACGCAATTGACGTAATAGTGCGTCAATTGCAGGCAACGCCATTCAAACGCTCCCCATTCATTTTCTATGGCAAATGTACACCTCACACAAACATCAAACCAGCCTCGGCCGTTTCACCGATTCGCCTCAAAATTGCTCCACATCATCTCAACACATGTACCATCAAAATGACTTCAGGGAATTTTGATCAGTGAAACAGCAGCGGAGCGGCAAAATGTGACCTTTTTTCCCCATTTTGACGATAGAAACAATGCTCCCTTTTGCACAAACCAAGTCCGATTTGCACCAAATTTGATTCGGTTGTTCAACTGTTGCCAGTTGACTGGAACCAGTTGAGGTGGCTCGGGCATCTGTTCCGGATGCCTCCTGGACGCCTCCCTGGGGAGGAGTTCCGGGCACGTCCCACCGGGAGGAGGCCCCGGGGAAGACCCAGGACACGCTGGAGAGACTATGTCTCTCAGCTGGCCTGGGAACGCCTTGGGGTCCCCCCGGACGAGCTGGAGGAAGTGTGTGTGGATAGGGAAGCCTGGGCGTCTCTGCTTAGACTGCTGCCCCCACGACCCGGCAACGGATAAAGCGGAAGAAAATGGATGGATGGATGTTCAACTTTTGAGTTTGGGTAAACTGAAAGTGTAAAACATTAATTTGCAGCATTAGCGCCCCCTACAGACTGAGTCAAGTTTTACATGGGTGAGAATGGCATTTACTAAGTCTGATTTGCACTAAACTTAACTCCTGGGCCTAGGTCGCCTGAAACTATGAACAATTACATTGTCCGATTAGCGCCTCCTACAGGCTGAGTAAAACTTTTACATAGGGGACACAGCGCATTTCGTTTTTCTGTTGTTTGATCTCATATTTGACCCACTGAGCATGCACGAAAACTCACCATATTCTTTTTTTCTGGCAACAAATGAATTATTGGGATGTCTTTGGTTTAAAACAAAAAAAATGTATTGGTAGAGGGCGCTATTATTCAAAGTAAATGACCGATGTTTGCACATGCAAAGTCTGATTTCCTCAAAATTTCATTTGATAGTTCAACTCTCGAGTTTGGGTAAACTGAAAGTGTAAAACATGAAATTGCTGCATAAGCGCCCCCTACAGACTGAGTCCAGTGTTACATGGGGAGAATAAGGTTTAGTTTTTCAATAGAGACACACAATCATTGATCATAGACATTCAAAATACACAGTGTCGCTCCCATCAGGGCTTTAGGAAGATTGTGTGTCACATGGTCATCCAATGGAGACTGTATATTTATGGACACACTCACAGATTGTATGTGTAAACAGGAGCACATGTATAAAGTCTGATTTGTACCCTGCAACTCACGCATGCAGTGGCTCGCGCGGTGCGGGGGATCGTAGAGGCGCCCAAGCACTGATAAATGGCTTTGCTCCTGCTGTAGTACGCAGTGAAATGATTAAAGTCCTATTAAAGGGGGGTTCCTTCAACTGTCTTACGGACGAATGTCCGGGCTTGGGACATTCCCCCAAGCCCGACGGCGCGTGCCCAGACACCGATAAAACAGTGCCGGAGGCACTGAATGGCTTTGCTCCTGCTGTAGTACACACTGAAATGAATGGGGTCCTATGGAGGGGGGGTGACCTCATGAGATTGTGACCTGCACGCGACGGCACGTGCCCAGACACTGATAAATCCGTGCCAAGGCACGGAATGGCTTTGTTCCTGCTGTAGTACACAGTGAAATGTTTGAAGTCCTATTAAAGGGGTGGGTTACTTAAACTGTCTTACGGATGAATGTCCGGGCACTTCGTCCCCCGAGCCCGACGGCACGTGCCCAGACACTGACAAAACAGTGCCGGACGTCCAAATCCTCTCAACACATGGACCATCAATAGTAGAATATAGAATTTAAATTAGTCAAACGGTCTGAGAGTGACAGACTCCCAAAGTGTGGTTATTTTCATAGAGAGTTCCCATGTTATCCAATGGAGACTGTATGGACACACTCACAGATTGTATGAACAAACAGGAGCACATTTACAAACTCTGATTTGCACTAAACTTGACTCGGTTTTTCAACTCCTCTACAGGCTGAGTAAAGGTTTACATGGGGATAAAGGTATTTAGGTTTTCTGTTGTTTGATCTCATATTTGACCCACTGAACACACACGAAAACTCACCAAACTTTGCAAGTTTTTTTCAGGCATAAAGTGTATTATTTTGGTGTTCTTTGGTATAACACTAAAAAATTGAAATTGTAGGGGGTGCTATTGTACAACATAAATGCCACCATTTCCACATTCAACGTCATTCAAAACGGCATTCAAAATGCACAGTGTTGCTCCCCTCAGGGCGGTAGGAAAATGGCACGTCAGCGCCACCTCCTTTGCGCGGTGCGACGAGGGCCGTTCGACGCCGCTTGCGACTTTAATGTTATATTTACTTCTGCTTCCGTCCCGATTCCGTATATGATCTCGGGCATCTGAGACCCAGGACACAGAGGGAGGAGACCAGGAGGAGACCCAGGACACAGAGGGAGGAGACCAGGAGGAGACCCAGGACACAGAGGGAGGAAACCAGGAGGAGACCCAGGACACAGAGGGAGGAGACCAGGAGGAGACCCAGGACACAGAGGAGGAGACCAGGAGGAGACCCAGGACACAGAGGGAGGAAACCAGGAGGAGACCCAGGACACAGAGGGAGGAGACCAGGAGGAGACCCAGGACACAGAGGGAGGAGACCCAGGACACAGAGCGAGGAGACCAGGAGGAGACCCAGGACACAGAGGGAGGAGACCAGGAAGAGACCCAGGACACAGAGGGAGGAGACCAGGAGGAGACCCAGGACACAGAGGGAGGAAACCAGAAGGAGACCCAGGACACAGAGGGAGGAGACCAGGAGGAGACCCAGGACACAGAGGGAGGAGACCAGGAGGAGACCCAGGACACAGAGTGAGGAGACCCCGAGGAAGACCCAGGACACAGAGGGAGGAGACCAGGAGGAGACCCAGGACACAGAGCGAGGAGACCAGGAGGAGACCCAGGACACAGAGTGAGGAGACCAGGAGGAGACCCAGGACACAGAGGGAGGAGACCAGGAGGAGACACAGAGGGAGGAAACCAGGAGGAGACCCAGGACACAGAGCGAGGAGACCAGGAGGAGACCCAGGACACAGAGGGAGGAGACCAGGAGGAGACCCAGGACACAGAGGGAGGAGACCAGGAGGAGACCCAGGACACAGAGGGAGACCAGGAGGAGATACAGAGGGAGGAGACCAGGAGGAGACCCAGGACACAGAGGGAGGAGACCAGGAGGAGACCCAGGACACAGAGGGAGGAGACCAGGAGGAGACCCAGGACACAGAGGGAGGAGACCAGGAGGAGACACAGAGGGAGGAAACCAGGAGGAGACCCAGGACACAGAGCGAGGAAACCAGGAGGAGACCCAGGACACAGAGCGAGGAGACCAGGAGGAGACCCAGGACACAGAGGGAGACCAGGAGGAGATACAGAGGGAGGAGACCAGGAGGAGACCCAGGACACAGAGGGAGGAGACCAGGAGGAGACCCAGGACTCAGAGGGAGGAGACCAGGAGGAGACCCAGGACACAGAGGGACTATGTCTCTCTCTGGCCTGGAGGAAGTGTCTGTGGAGAGGAAAGTCTGGGCGTCTCTGCTTAGACTACTGCCCCTGCGACCCGGCAACGGATGAAGCGGAAGAAAATGGAATGGAATGGACGGTAACATGTGCACACGTTTTCCCTTCACTACACACCTCCAAGTCTGGACCAGGTTAGTCCATCTGGCTTCACGAGAAACAGTACTTTGCCAGATCCACTTCCACATTCAGCAAAACGGTCGTAAATTATTCACCAAATTGGAGAGTGTGTTTGAGGCCTGGGAATGTCCGTTTTGATTTGAGACTAACTCCTGATTGATTGCCCTGAATGTTTTTTTTTTTCTCACCAGTTGACCTATATTTGTTCACTGTCCTTTGCTTGGGTCCTGATCCCGGGCTCATGGCTCAGGTTCATAAACAGAAAAGCAGCCAATTCCACAGGTCAGTGCTGGAGTTGGATTACACTGGATCACGTTAGCTCAATCACAACACATCAGACACAATACAGCAGTAAGCTAAAGTCACTGCGGTTGCTTCATGGCGTCAACGTTCAGCTGAAACTCGGGAAATTTGCATATTTAGTAAAAGAAGTTTAAGGAGCAGTTTGTAAAAAATGTGATCAAAAGTGGTACTGCAGCCTCTCCCACTCTCCCTGACTCGGGTTGCCAGATATGCAGACGAATCCAGCTGGGACCATAACAGCTGAATTATCTATCTGTACATCAATCAATCAATCAGTCACTCTATCTATTTATCTATCTATCTATCTATCTCTCTCTCTCTATCTCTCTCTCTCTCTCTCTCTCTCTCTCTCTCTCTCTCTATCTATCTGTCTATCTATCTATCTATCTATCTATCTATCTATCTATCTATCTCTCTCTCTCTTTCTCTCTATCTTTCTCTCTATCTATCTATCTATCTATCTATCTATCTATCTATCTATCTATCTATCTATCTATCTATCTATCTCTCTCTCTCTATCTGTCTATCTATCTGTCTATCTATCTATCTATCTATCTCTCTCTCTCTTTCTCTCTATCTATCTCTCTATCTATCTATCTATCTATCTATCTATCTATCTCTATCTCTCTCTCTCTCTCTCTCTCTCTCTCTATCTCTATCTATCTATCTTATCTATCTATCTATCTGTCTATCTATCTGTCTATCTATCTGTCTATCTATCTATCTGTCTATCTATCTGTCTGTCTATCTGTCTATCTATCTATCTATCTATCTATCTATCTATCTATCTATCTATCTCTATCTCTCTCTCTATCTCTATCTATCTCTCTCTCTCTCTCTCTATCTATCTATCCTATCTCTCTATCTATCTATCTATCTATCTCTCCTCTCTCTCTCTCTCTCTCTCTCTCTCTCTCTCTCTCTCTCTCTCTCTCTCTCTCTCTCTCTCTCTCTCTCTCTCTCTCTCTCTCTCTCTCTCTCTCTCTCTCTCTCTCTCTCTCTCTCTCTCTCTCTCTCTCTCTCTCTCTCTCTCTCTCTCTCTCTCTCTCTCTCTCTCTCTCTCTCTCTCTCTCTCTCTCTCTCTCTCTCTCTCTCTCTCTCTCTCTCTCTCTATCTATCTATCTACTGTATCTATCTAACTGTGTATCTATCTATCTATCTCTCTACTGCCCCCTGCTGGCCCAGCCTGAGTCCGCCTGGTGACAGCAGCAGACAGATGTCCGTCCGCTGCAGTCCAGTATCTCCCACTCTCCGGGTCACTGGTTTGTTAAAGTTTGTAGGTGACAGCGGCTTCTCCTCCGTCTTTGAGCGAGCCCCAGCAGGTGGAAGCAGCTTGTCACAGCCCAGCGCCCATCACCAAAATGAGGATGTATCACCGGCTTCACACCTGAGGAGCCCGGCTTTAGTTTGGCCGGCGCTGTCCTCCGTCTGTGCCAACCCCAGCCTCGTGATGAGCTCGGGATCAGCCAGAAGCACATCGCACCAAAGTGAAAATGATGCGATGTGAAAACTGTTTGAAGTCAAATGAGGAAGAGGAGGGTAATTAGTTAAAGGGCGAACCGTGAGCTCTGATTGGTCAGTTGGACATTCCACTGGACATGTTCTGACCCGACAGATTACAAACAGGTAAAGCTCTGGGCAGAACCAGGTCTTTACAAAACTCAAATCAATTCTAATTATTTTTGTATAGCCATAAATACCAAGTGGACAATAATAAAAAGTTCATGCAAGAAGATCCTGGGTTTTTCTGAGTGGAGTTTGTATGTGTCTTCCTCTGTCCGTAGGTTTCCTCCAGGTGCTCCAGTTTCCCCCACCATTTATATTATTATTATTATTGATTTGTGTTTAGATGTATTTAGATCTGTTTAGATGTATTTATTTGTATGTATATATGTTTATATGTGTGTGTCTGTGTGTGTGTGTGTGTGTCCGTGTGTGTGTGTGTGTGTATTTATATCTGCAGTAAATGACTATAATTGGTGAAACATACGTTCTCTTCCACAGACACTTTCCTCAGTTCTGTCAAGACTGTTCCTAAATTACAACTAAAAATATAATCTACGTATTGTTCGTTTTAATAAAAACTGAGAACATTGACCTCATCGCATCAATTAGGAACACATCTGTAATCTGTAATCTGTAATCTCTATTCTGTCGATCGTCCATAGCTCATGTTTTCCTCATTTCAGGCTCATGGTAATAGGTTGTTATAATCTCCTTTAATCGATACTTCCTTTGATTCATGCAGAGTCACCTTTAACCCTCTCTGCTTTGAAGACTTCACACTGACACAGGATTCTTCTTTTAAAACGTCTGGCGCTTTTATCAAAAACTCAATCAATGGGCTTTATTTTATTGATAAAGAGTTTACAGGTCAAACTGCCTCGCTCCAGATTAAACTGTATTTAATGTGTTACTTTTGGGTCAATCACACAAAAAAGTCCTGAATGTCCGCGGTCGTTACTGTTAAATGTTCACAGACTCTGGATCAGTTCCTTGTGTGTCCAGTGGAGGGCGCTCTACTAAATCACAGTCAAGTTTGTTGCAGTTTTTAAGTCATTATTTTGCTTAATGTATAATCTATAATTACAGATTGATTTAAGTTTTATCTCCAACCTTTAACCATCTCCACCGACTCCACTGCTGTCTGCTGTGGTTGTGTCCTTGGGCAAGACACTTGAACCACTTTGCCTAGAATCAACACGGAAGTAATGTTTATTGTGTGTTGTAATGTGTGTTTATTCATCAAACTGAAAGGAATTCTACCTCTTCTCCTTCTCCTTCTTTTCCTTCTTCTTCTTCTCCTTCCTCTTCTTACATCCCAAATGTAACTAGCTCTCTCAAGTAAATTAACATCAGCGTCCCAACCACAGACTGTAAATATTAACAGACGTAGTCAGACCTGTCTCCGCCGTTCTAACTAATGGGCCAAAAATTGGGCTCTCATGGAGTGTTTCAAAATGGCCGCGGGGGCTGGAAAATGTGAAAAAATGCATCTGTGCGTCAGCTGCACGAACCCCATTCATTTAAACAAGTGACTTCTAAAGTCCACAGCGACTAAACTGGACTGGTCCAGAACACTCAGCATTGACACACATGTGGAACGGAGCTTTGGGCCAAGAGACAACTTTTGGACCATCCTGTAAAGACGTTTTCAGCTAATGCTATATGTTACTATATGTTAGCATTGAATAATTCTTATTCCGGGTCCACCCCACAGGCCCGGGGTGGTACTGCAGCATGTCAGGGTCCACCCCCACAGGCCCGGGGTGGTACTGCAGCATGTCAGGGTCCACCCCCACAGGCCCGGGGTGGTACTGCAGCATGTCAGGGTCCACCCCCACAGGCCCGGGGTGGTACTGCAGCATGTCAGGGTCCACCCCCACAGGCCCGGGGTGGTACTGCAGCATGTCAGGGTCCACCCCCACAGGCCCGGGGTGGCGCACGTCATTTTGGACACTTTTGAGCCGGGACCCGCCCACACTGGTCACAACAGCCGACTTGTCATGTGACCTCCTAAAGTCTGCGGCAGGAAAGCAAGCTAGCAGCGAGCGTTTGGCAGTTTTTTAAGTAAACTAGTAACAAAAGTGAAGCGACTGTTGTTTAAAACTGTCACAAAGTCCAAAACACTTATAACACCAAAACTCACCACCGCGCAGAGTATAGCACCTTTGCTAGCACCAGAGTATAGCACCTTTGCTAGCACCAGAGTATAGCACCTTTGCTAGCACTGGAGTATAGCATCTTTGCTAGCACCAGAGTATAGCACCTTTGCTAGCACTAGAGTATAGCATCTTTGCTAGCACCAGAGTATAGCACCTTTGCTAGCACTGGAGTATAGCACCTTCCCAGAGATAACACAACGTACTCATATCAGTACTCGGTATCAGAAAGTACTAATTCTCGGTTTGGTGGTATTGGTGCCTCTTTAGATGTTTCCATGAAGCCTGTGTGTCCCCGGTTCATTAAAGTGAGTTATACTTGTTTTTGAAAAGTCTTCGCTTTGGACTAAACACAGATTAGATTAAGATTAAATATTTGAGTCTGGTTCTGTGTTTTGGATAGTTTCGTTTGACCGAACAGCGCAAGTTATTCACAGTAATTAGTCAAATCTGAGTTTGGTTCATCAAAGAAACAGAGCGGACGATTTAACACCAGAGTTTCAGTCATGTAAGACCTGAGACTTTACCCAGACTTTACAGAGACTTTACCGATACTTTGCAGAGACTTTACCAACACTTTACCGATACTTTGCAGAGACTTTACCAACACTTTACCGAGACTTTGCCTAGACTTTACCAACACTTTACCGGAACTTTACTAAGACTTTGCCGAGACTTGACTGAGACTTGACTGAGACTTTGGCAAGACTTTACAGAGACTTTACGGAGACTTTGCCAAGACTTTGCAGAGGCTTTGCCGAGACTTTACTGAGACTTTACCAAGACTTTACCGAGACTTTACCAAGACTTTACCGAGACTTTACTAAGACTTTACCAAGACTTTACCGAGACTTTACTAAGACTTTACCAAGACTTTACCGAGACCTTACTGAGACTTTACCGAGACTTTACCGAGACTTTACAGAGACTTTACCGAGACTTTACCGAGACTTTACTACTACTATACTAGCCTGGTCTTACTACACCATGGTAGTCACGCCTATCTCCACTAATGTGCCACAACTTCCGCGGACAGAATCTAAGACATAAAACAAATCAGGATTCAAACAGTACAGAGTGTGTGTGTGTGTGTGTGTGTATATGTGTGCGTGTGTGTGTGTGGTAGAGGTTTATAGGAGGTAAACAGGTAATAATCTCTAACTACATGTATTATATAAAGTCATTCATATCTAATTACACATGTGTTACAGTCTCCAATCCCTGAACCCAAATGTTCTCATCACATTGTTTCTCCAATTCATTTAGTAATGTCTGTGCACGGGCCAACAAACACACACACAAATGCACACACACACAGACACACGCACGCACGCACACACACGCACGCACACACACGCATGCACACACACGCACACACACACGCATGCACACACATGCACAGACACGCACACACACAGACAGACACACACACACACACGCATGCACGCACACACACACACGCATGCACGCACACACACACAGACACACACGCACACACACACGCATGCACACACACACACAGACACGCACACACAGACACACACGCACACACACACATGCACACGCACACACAGACACACACGCACACACACACATGCACACACACACACAGACACGCACACACACACACACACAGACACACACGCACACACACACGCATGCACACACACACACAGACACGCACACACAGACACACACGCACACACACACATGCACACACACACACAGACACGCACACACAGACACACACGCACACACACACATGCACACACACACACAGACACGCACACACTATACTGTTTGAATCCTGTTTTGTTTTTGTCTTAGATTCTGTCCGCTTTGATTTGATCATTTTAACTTTGTTTTGTCTTTAATTGTATCAGTTGCTGGTCTTGTTTTTGACATGTCTTCTGAAATAAGCAAATACAAAATAATAAAAAAGATACACGGGAGAATTTTGTACTTCCGGGTGGATCATCAAGACTATTGGTCCTCCCAACTGTCAATCATTCTGGTGCTCGTCCAATAAGACCAGAGAGTTTGGTTCCAAAAGTGCGGTTCTTACACCTTGTTCTTCTTTTACCTTGTTGTGGTGTGTATGTTGATAAAGTATGGACTAAGTTTTTGTCGGACTAACGCAGAGCACGCGCGCTGTAATCCCGCGTGATCCCGCGTCATGGAGCCGCCGGTGCGTAAAGAGCGCGTTGGACACTTGTCGCGCTCCGGAGTCTCTCACCGCAGAAGGGGCAGAAGGGGGCAGCTGTGACGTGTGGAGGCGCGGGTCTATATAAAGACACTCGGGATGATGTTGGGCTCTTGTTCAAGCCCAGACCCGTCCGTGCACTATGCGTGTGCGTGACCTGAAAACCCGGCCGTAGACGCGCGCAGACGGAGGCATGGACAATGGATACTTTAAGCCTCTCGGTGAACGCGGCGACCCACGCAGAGCCCACGCCGCACACGGAGGCTTGGGACCCGTTCAACAGACCCATCCCCAACGTGGAGCCCTGGAACTTCACGGTGCTGGCGGTGCTCATGTTCGTGGTCACGTCTCTGTCTCTGAGTGAAAACTTCCTCGTGATGTTCGTGACTTTCCGCTTCAAGCAGCTGCGGCAGCCGCTCAACTACATCATCGTGAACCTGGCGATCGCAGACTTTTTGGTGTCTCTCACTGGAGGGATCATCAGCTTCCTCACCAACACGCGCGGATACTTCTTCCTCGGTCACTGGGCGTGCATCCTGGAAGGCTTCGCGGTCACTTTCTTTGGTGAGTTTACTTTGGGTTTGTTTTTAGAGTGGACTGTAGAAACCATGGACTGTAAAGACTGGACTGTAGAAACCATGGACTATAGAGACTGGACTGTAGAGACCATGGACTGTAGAAACCATGGACTGTAGAAACCATGGACTGTAGAAACCATGGACTGTAGAAACCATGGACTGTAGAAACCATGGAGACTATAGACTGTAGGTGTCAGTGCAGCCCCAGGTTTCAGACAGAGACGAGAGAGAAGAGAGAGTTCTGTCAAAGTAAATCCATTTCAGATTCAGTTATTTACCATTTGCAGTAAAACCACATTGGTATATATTTATAAATGTTCCCAGTGTGCACCAGACAAGTACATGAATAAAACAAGGAGGTAAAAGAAAAAGTACAATACTGCCCTTATTAATAATTACCCTTATTAATAATAATAAGGGTAAAGAAAAAGTACAGAAATGAAAGAAGGTAAAAAAGTACAGGTACAAGTACAAGTACAAGGCAAAAGAAAAGTGCAAGACTAAAACAAGGAGATAAAAGAAATGTGGAGGTAGATCCAGGTTTCACACAGTTCTGTCGAAGTAAATCCGTTTCAGGTTCAGTTTGTTTTTACCATTTGCAGTAAAACCACATTGGAATATATTTACAAATGTCCCCAGTGTGCACCAGACATGTGTATGAATAAAACAAGGTGAAAAGGAAAGTACAGGAGTAAAAATGGAGGTCGTCTCCGAGGACTTTACAAAGTTTTCGATTGGCCAACAGCAGATCAGAGAATCATGCAGAAAACGCAACAATAACAAATCCAGGAGGCACTGGACCAGAGGGAGCGGGTCTCGGATCATCTCTGTCCCTACACTCTAGAAAAGTAACATATAAAAACTGTTTTTTTAGTTTTAACAAATTCATAAATATGATGTACAACAGGGGACATTTAACTACAAAAAAATATGTAAAAATTAGGGCTGTCAAAATTATCGCATCAACGCACGTTAATACATTTTCTCCATTAATAGCATGAAAAATTAACGCATTGACGCATGACCATGCATCCCATAATAACACTCAGAGCCACAGACATGTGTGTGTGAGATGGAGACAGAGCAGGTCTCTGGGAATCCAAGTTTTAAAAGAATACACACGTGACCGCGAGGCACTTGCTGTTTCCTGTATGAACTCTGAGCTGAGCGGCGGCGCTCTGGACAGAGGTTCCTCTGGACAGCGGTTCCTCTGGACAGCGGCTGTGGTCACGGCGAACGGCGCCGCTGGAACGTCATGTCCAAGACCACGCACAGAACTACTCTCTGATTGTAGTGTGCGTGTCTTTGTGTAACCGGTTCACACATAGATACAGCGCTGAAGCTGGACAACGGAGCCTCAGTCTCCTCCGTGTCTCCTCCCGAAGCGCACTCGCTAAATTAAAGCTGAGGTACCTAATTTTCTCTTCCACTATAGTTCATGTTGGTTGTGCCCAACAGTAATGTTGTGAGCAAATCAAACAGATTTAATGACATTCTGCCTCAGACTGTTTTAAATGTCCTTCATCTGTAAATAACAATAGTTTTGGTCTGAGTCTAAACAAATACAGTAATATGTTCACTACGCTGTCATTTATCTTTCCATTCAAACAACCATTCACAGAAAAATATGGCATCATTTTGTCGATAGTTCAAAATGCGATTAATTACAATTAATTAATTATTAAGCTGTAATGAACTTGATTAAACATTGTAATCGTTTGACAGCCCTGGTTAAAATGTTAATATTATTTGATCACAGCAGTACAAAGTCTGTCGCTGTTACAGACAAAACACCTCATAACAATTTAATTACATACATTTTTGTTCGGCTCGATTAGAACCATCTTTACAAAGTTGTCAATTCACCAACAACAGATCAGAGAATCAAACAGTGCAGTAACCAACACGAAAGAGCCATGGGTTCAGATTCAGACATACACAGACATTACAGAAGTCGTCGTGTGGGGTTTAAGACCGGGTCCAGTCTGAGAAGTGGTGTCAGAAGTTTGAGCAGAAGCAGTGAGTCCTGGAGGGTCCTGGAGGGTTCTGGAGGGTCCTGGAGGGTCCTGGAGGGTCCTGGAGGGTTCTGGAGGGTCCTGGAGGGTCCTGGAGGGTCCTGGAGAGTCCTGGAGGGTCCTGGAGGGTCCGGGGCACAGACTGAAGCCAGGGCTGTATCTGTAAATATGGATCATTATTATTATTATTTGTCATTCACCAAAAGCTGTGGAAAATCTGCTTTTGCTGCGAGGAAATCTCAAAGTGTTAGAAAGTTTAGTCTTCAAATCGTTTCTTTTGGTCATATTAATATTTTGTAATGAATCGTTTCTTTTGTAAATGTTCAGATTGCCCTTTTTCCCCTGATACGATATATCAATGAAACTCTCGAGATGAAAGAGGGCACAAAACACTTTAAATACACTTTAATGCTGAGTGTGTTCACAGTAAAGTGTTAAAATATCTGGACTTTAAAGGGTTATAACTCTAAAACTAAAATGACTCTCACAGATTATAAAGAAGATTCCAAACACAGACAGATCAAAGAGAAAGTGGATAAAATCTAAAGGAAAGATTGACAAATATATGTAAAAACCCAGATCTGATCATTCTGAGACTCAGAGAAATGATGTATGTGTGTGTGTATATGTATGTATGTGTGTATATGTATGTGTGTGTATGTATGTGTGTGTATATGTATGTGTATGTGTGTGTGTATATGTATGTGTGTATATGTATGTGTGTGTATGTATGTGTGTGTATATGTATGTGTATGTGTGTATATGTATGTGTGTGTATATGTATGTGTGTGTATATGTATGTATGTGTGTATATGTACGTGTGTGTATATGTCAGAATCAGAATCAGAATCAGAATCATTTTTATTGCCAACGTAAGTAACGGGAGGTCACAGACTTGGAAATTGCTTTGGCTCAGTGCAACAGTCAAAAAGAGATAATAAAAATAAGAATAAAAAACACTTCTAAAGAATAAATTTAAATTTAAAATAGAGTTACAGTTACTATTTACAATATACAAGTGCACATGGTGCACACAATGTAAGGTGACAGCAGTACAGTGAAGTAAAGTGACGTATGATGGGCAGTAAAGTGACTTTATAAAGGGCGGGGGGACAGGTTAAGAAGTGTTCAAGAGTCCAACAGCAGAGGGGAAGAAACTGTTCTTGTGGCGGGAGGTTCTAGTCCTGATGGACCGCAGCCTCCTGCCTGAGGGGAGTGGTTGGAATAGTCCATGTGCAGGTGAGAGGTGAGTGGTTGGAATAGTCCATGTGCAGGTGAGAGGTGAGTGGTTGGAATAGTCCATGTGCAGGTGAGAGGTGAGTGGTTGGAATAGTCCATGTGCAGGTGAGAGGGGTCGGCTGTGATACGACCAGCCCGGCCTCGAGCTCGGGCGACGTACAGGTCCTGCAGCGATGGAAGGCTGCGGCCGATCACTTCCTCTGCAGAGCGCACAATGCACTGTAGTCTCTGTTTGTCCCTGACTGTGGCTCCAGCGAACCACACGGTGACGGAGGAGGTGAGGATGGACTCGATGATGGCCGTGTAGAACTGCACCAACATCTGTGCAGGCAGCTTGGCTTTCCTGAGCTGCCGCAGGAAGTACATCCTCTGCTGGGCCTTCTTGATGAGGGAGTTGATGGTCGGCTCCCACTTGAGGTCCTGGGTGATGGTGGTGCCCAGGAAACGGGAAGGACTCCACAGAGGTGATGGGGGAGTCCATCACGGAGGGTGGGGGCGGGGGGACAGTGCTCTTCCTGAAGTCCACAATCATCTCCACTGTCTTCTGGGCGTTCAGCTCCAGGTTGTTACCACTGCACCAGGACACCAGCCGGTCCACCTCCCTCCTGTAGGCGGACTCATCGTTGTTGGAGATGAGTCCAATGAGGGTGGTGTCGTCCGCGAACTTGATCAGCTTCACGGAGTCGTGGCTGGAGGTGCAGTGGTTGGTGTACAGGGAGAAGAGCAGGGGAGAAAGAACACAGCCCTGTGGGGCTCCTGTATTTATAATCCGAGAGTCCGAGACATTCTTCCCCAGACGCACTCGCTGCTTCCTGTCCGTCAGGAAGTCAGTGATCCACCTGCAGGTGGAATCGGGCACGTTGAGCTGGGAGAGCTTGTCCTGGAGCAGGGATGGCAGGATTGTGTTGAAGGCAGAGCTGAAGTCCACGAACAGGACCCTGGCGTAGGTCCCCGGGGAGTCCAGGTGCTGTAGGATGTGGTGGAGGGCCAGGTTAATGGCGTCGTCTACAGATCTGTTGGCTCTGTAGGCGAACTGCAGGGGGTCCAGGAGGGGGGAGGTGAGGGACTTGAGATGGGAGAGGACCAGGCGTTCAAATGACTTCATGACGACAGACGTAAGTGCTACAGGTCTGTAGTCATTGAGTCCTGTGATCCTGGACTTCTTCGGGACGGGGACAATGATGGAGGATTTGAAGCAGGCCGGGACATGGCAGGACTGCAGAGAGGTGTTGAAAATGTCCGTGAACACAGGAGTAAGCTCACTGGGGCAGTGTCTCAGAGTGGCCGGAGACACGTGGTCCGGGCCAGGAGCTTTGCGGGGGTGCAGCCTCAGGAATGTATGTATGTGTGTGTGTATATGTATGTGTGTGTATATGTATGTATGTGTGTATATGTACGTGTGTGTATATGTATGTGTGTGTGTATATGTATGTGTGTGTGTATATGTATGCTCCAGTGTAGTTCTAATCTGCTCAAGTGTGCAACTTTGGCGGACTAGTAACGGAGGAGAGAGACGGACTGGAGACTGGATGATGCGTGTGGGTTTTAAGTATGAATGGAACGGAGAAAAGGGTGCGCGAGTGTAATGCCATATGTGTGTGTGCGTTCATATGTTTGTGTTTGTGCATCTGTGTGTGTGCGTTCATATGTATGTGTTTGTGCATCTGTGTGTGTGTGTGCGTTCATATGTATGTGTTTGTGCATCTGTGTGTGTGCGTTCATATGTATGTGTTTGTGCATCTGTGTGTGTGTGTGCGTTCATATGTATGTGTTTGGGCATCTGTGTGTGTGTGTGCGTTCATATGTATGTGTTTGGGCATCTGTGTGTGTGTGCGTGTCTGGGTGCATCTGTGTGTGTGTGTGCGTGCATCTGTGTGTGTGTGCGTGTCTGGGTGCATCTGTGTGTGTGTGCGTGCATCTGTGTGTGTGTGTGTGTCTGGGTGCATCTGTGTGTGTGTGCGTGCATCTGTGTGTGTGTGCGTGTCTGGGTGCATCTGTGTGTGTGTGCGTGCATCTGTGTGTGTGTGCGTGTCTGGGTGCATCTGTGTGTGTGTGCGTGCATCTGTGTGTGTGTGCGTGCATCTGTGTGTGTGTGTGTGTGTGTGCGTGCATGTGTATGTGTGCGTGCATCTGTGTGTGTATGTGTGCGGCGCGTGCAGCATGAACGTCGACCCGGAGTAAACTAATACTTAAAATAGCGTTATTAGGAGACTCCCTCCTCCCCCTTTTTCTTTTTTTTAACCGACAGCTTTGACCGGTTAACGCTGTGACGGTCAACCACCGGTTAAACGGTGACCGATTTACAGCCCTAGTTAGCAGTCTCGCTTTTCAGCAAGAAGGTCCTGGGTTCGAATCCCAGTCGGAACAGGGCCTTTCTGAATGGAGGGTGCGTGTCGTTCCTGTGTCTGCGTTGGTGTCCTCCTGGTGCTCCGGTTTCTCTACCACTAAAACATGTACAATAGGTCTGAATGTAATGAGTGAATGGAGGGTGTTTGGTCGGAGGCTTTGATGGTCCAGTGTGTCTCGCTTCTGTCATCACCGTGCAGTGGAGAGACTGGAACAATATCTGAACATTGTAACTTTGGAAAATGATTTGGATTCATTGAACAAACTGCAAACCAAGTCTTTCATGTTATTTCTTGACTTCAGGAACTCATATTAAATGCATGAGTTGCCGTTGTGTGTTTTTTTACTACTCACTGTGTGTCTGTCTCCAAAGCCCAGAGACCGATCAGGCTCAACGTCCGTCTATAAAACACAAGTCTGTGCTTTTCTCAGCCACAGACATGAGTCTTCATAAACAACAAACCGTGACCAGCAATACTTCTGTCAATAAAACACCAACACCTCCAACATCTATTCAGTAAAGCATCCTCAGTCCATGTTTTAAAGTTCAACTGTTTCTGAGCTGCTGGACTTGCAGCCGTTTTCCAGCGCATTCAAAAGTAAACTTAAGTCGACAATGTGCAGTATTGTTTACAAAGAGGTTGTGTGTCAAAATGCATTCAAACTCTCTGATTAACACTGTTTTACTGTTTCCCAGACCCTTGAGTGTGGGACATTTAATTCCTAAATAAACTTTGGGCCATCCTTCAATTTTTTTCTAATTTACACAACGCCTCTATCTCTTTTCACTTTTAAATTAAGAAATTAAAATTTCAAAATTATGCGTTTTAGGAAAATCTCTTTCTAGATGCTTTACTTGTTTCTTGTCTTGTTTATCCCTCCATTATTGCTGATGACACACAGACCAGAGTCACAAAGCGGTTTACAATGGTTATTATTTTTGGGCACTTGTCTCTCACTCCACACAGAGATGGGAGCGGGGTCGCCGAACAGGAGGCACATGCCAGAACTATTGTTCATGTTTTTAGTGGTAGGGGAAACCGGAGTACCCGGAAGAAACCTGCACAGACACGGGGAGAACATGCAAACTCCTCTCAGAAAGGCCCTGGTCCGACCAGGATTCAAACCCAGGACCTTCTTGCTGAGAGGCGAGAGTGCTATCCACTCAGCCACCGTGCCGCCCATTTTTCCATGTGTTATGACTGGAGACGCGTTGCTGCGCACACAAAATTAGAAAATCCATCCTAAATGGATTAATAATAATCCATCATACGTCCGTCATACGTCCGTCATACGTGCGTCATACATGTGTCATACGTCCGTCATACGTGCGTCATACGTGCGTCATACGTGCGTCATACATGTGTCATACGTCCGTCATACGTGCGTCATACGTGCGTCATACGTCCGTCATACATGTGTCATACGTCCGTCATACGTCCGTCATACGTCCGTCATACGTGCGTCATACATGTGTCATACGTCCGTCATACGTGCGTCATACGTGCGTCATACGTCCGTCATACGTGCGTCATACGTGCGTCATACGTGCGTCATACGTCCGTCATACGTCCGTCATACGTCCGTCATACGTGCGTCATACGTGCGTCATACGTCCGTCATACGTCCGTCATACGTGCGTCATACGTCTGTCATACGTCCGTCATACGTCCGTCATACGTCCGTCATACGTCCGTCATACGTCCGTCATACGTGCTTCATACGTGCGTCATACGTCCGTCATACGTCCGTCATACGTCCGTCATACGTGCGTCATACGTCTGTCATACGTCCGTCATACGTCCGTCATACGTGCGTCATACGTCCGTCATACGTCCGTCTTACGTGCGTCATACGTCCGTCATACGTGCGTCATACGTGCGTCATACGTCCGTCATACGTCCGCCATACGTCCGTCATACGTCCGTCATACGTCCGTCATACGTCCGTCATACGTGCTTCATACGTGCGTCATACGTCCGTCATACGTCCGTCATACGTCCGTCATACGTCCGTCATACGTGCGTCATACGTGCGTCATACGTCCGTCATACGTCCGCCATACGTCCGTCATACGTCCGTCATACGTCCGTCATACGTCCGTCATACGTGCGTCATACGTCCGTCATACGTCCGCCATACGTCCGTCATACGTGCGTCATACGTCCGTCATACGTGCGTCATACGTCCGTCATACGTGCGTCATACGTCCGTCATACGTCCGTCTTACGTGCGTCATACGTCCGTCATACGTCCGCCATACGTCCGTCATACGTCCGTCATACGTGCGTACGACACGTCATACGTGCGTCATACGTCCGTCATACGTCCGTCTTACGTGCGTCATACGTCCGTCATACGTCCGCCATACGTCCGTCATACGTGCGTCATACGTCCGTCATACGTCCGTCATACGTGCGTACGACACTAGTGTAAATATCACCATTGGTTTACATGTAAAAATGTTACGCTGCTGCGTGTACAACGCCTTCGAGCTGTAACGCCTCTCACTCTTCTTTGACTCTGGCCTAATCATCGGCGGATTAAAAATGATTACGGAATTTCCAGCAGCACTAATAATCTATAGCCTGGTCTTACCATGTGTAAACTCTGGTCCATGATCATCTCCTACATGTCAACTGGTCTTACCATGTGTAAACTCTGGTCCATGATCATTTCCTACATGTACGTCTGGTCTTACCATGTGTGAACTCTGGTCCATGATCATTTCCTAAATGTACGTCTGGTCTTACCATGTGTAAACTCTGGTCCATGATCATTTCCTACATGTACGTCTGGTCTTACCATGTGTGAACTCTGGTCCATGATCATCTCCTACATGTACGTCTGGTCTTACCATGTGTAAACTCTGGTCCATGGTCATTTCCTACATGTACGTCTGGTCTTACCATGTGTAAACTCTGGTCCATGATCATCTCCTACATGTACGTCTGGTCTTACCATGTGTAAACTCTGGTCCATGATCATTTCCTACATGTACGTCTGGTCTTACCATGTGTAAACTCTGGTCCATGATCATTTCCTACATGTACGTCTGGTCTTACCATGTGTAAACTCTGGTCCATGGTCATCTCCTACATGTACGTCTGGTCTTACCATGTGTAAACTCTGGTCCATGGTCATTTCCTACATGTACGTCTGGGTCTGATCCTAGTGGCTGCAGTTTCCTCGGTTGAATCTCCTCCGACCAATCAGAAAGCGGGGGAGGCGGGTGTTGTAGGTCGGTGTCGGTGACGTCAAGAGTTTGTGCTGAATTTGCTGATTGTAGTTTGTCGGAGAATGTGATAGTAAAATAATCTGTTCTGGTTCAATCCAAATATCAAGAAACTGAAGCCGGAGCAAGAGGAATGTTTAGTAAATGTCATTGAAGCAAAGATGCTAAATGCTAACGACTCACTCGGGCTCATTACATACGTCACAGTAAACTCAGATCCAATCGTTTCAATCTGCAAAAGGAGTTAGCCCCTCCCACCTGTTAACGGAGTCAATAGTACCAGATGAAATGAGTACCATGGTGTGGTAAGACAGGGCTAGTGTATCTGTAGTCCTCATTTGCAGCCATGAGTTTGCTCAGTATTTAAAGATGTATTGAAGTTTGTGGCAGAATGGTCATGTGTCGGCCGTCTGCCGTCAATCCAATTTAAAACCAGACTACAGTAACTTGTGAATGTGTGAAACTCTTCGTTAAAAGTTTGTTGTAGGTGAATAAGTGGAAAATAACGAGGTCAAATCTGAATTAAACTGGTTTATATTTACATTTAATTGACAACTTTATCGATCTCTGCTAAAAGTTTAAGTACACGATGGCGCACGGAGAAACCAGGTCAGAAAGTTTCCAGAATGTCTTATTGGATTTGTCCAAGAGGCCTCTCCCTCTGCAGCTCCATGTGATAACTCTATCTCTGGTCTCTCTCTGGTCTCTCTCTGGTCTCTCTCTCTGGTCTCTCTCTGGTCTCTCCCTCTGGTCTCTCTCTTGTCTCTCTCTGGTCTCTCTCTGGTCACTCTGTCTCTCTCTGGTCTCTCTCTCTGGTCTCTCCCTCTGGTCTCTCTCTGGTCTCTCTCTGGTCTCTCTCTGGTCACTCTGGTCTCTCTCTGGTCTCTCCCTCTGGTCTCTCTCTGGTCTCTCTCTGGTCTCTCTCTGGTCTCTCTCTGGTCTCTCTCTCTGGTCTCTCTCTGGTCTCTCTCTGGTCTCCCTCTGGTCTCTCTCTCTGGTCTCTCTCTGGTCTCTCTCTGGTCTCTCTCTGGTCTCTCTCTCTGGTCTCTCTCTCTGGTCTCTCTCTGGTCTGTCTCTGGTCTCTCTCTGGTCTCTCTCTCTGGTCTCTCTCTGGTCTCTCTCTGGTCTCTCTCTGGTCTCTCTCTGATTAACACCCAATTACAGACACTCAGATATAACTATAAATAATTACTATGATGGTATTCATACGGTCCCTAATCTCAGGCCTGGATTATCTCAGATTATCAGATTCTAACCACAGTAAAAACATATCTGGGACAAAGTGAGCGTTGCCAGATATGTAAGTGAATTATATCACAGACGAGGATTACACTGACTGACAGTCAGTGACTTTACAAACACTGACTGTGGCTTTACAAACACTGACTGTGACTTTACAAACACTGACTGTGACTTTACAAACACTGACTGTGACTTTACAAACACTGACTGTGGCTTTACAAACACTGACTGTGACTTTACAAACACTGACTGTGACTTTACAAACACTGACTGTGACTTTACAAACACTGACTGTGACTTTACAAACACTGACTGTGGCTTTACAAACACTGACTGTGACTTTACAAACACTGACTGTGGTTTTACAAACACTGACTGTGACTTTACAGACACTGACTGTGGCTTTACAAACACTGACTGTGACTTTACGAACACTGACTGTGACTTTACAAACACTGACTGTGGCTTTACAAACACTGACTGTGACTTTACAAACACTGACTGTGACTTTACAAACACTGACTGTGGCTTTACAAACACTGACTGTGGCTTTACAAACACTGACTGTGACTTTACAAACACTGACTGTGGCTTTACAAACACTGACTGTTACTTTACAAACACTGACTGTAGCTTTACAAACACTGACTGTGACTTTACAAACACTGACTGTGGCTTTACAAACACTGACTGTGACTTTACAAACACTGACTGTGGCTTTACAAACACTGACTGTGACTTTACAAACACTGACTGTGACTTTACAAACACTGACTGTGACTTTACAAACACTGACTGTGGCTTTACAAACACTGACTGTGACTTTACAGACACTGACTGTGGCTTTACAAACACTGACTGTGACTTTACAAACACTGACTGTGACTTTACAAACACTGACTGTGGCTTTACAAACACTGACTGTGACTTTACAAACACTGACTGTGACTTTACAAACACTGACTGTGACTTTACAAACACTGACTGTGACTTTACAGACACTGACTGTGGCTTTACAAACACTGACTGTGACTTTACAAACACTGACTGTGACTTTACAAACACTGACTGTGACTTTACAAACACTGACTGTGGCTTTACAAACACTGACTGTGACTTTACAAACACTGACTGTGACTTTACAAACACTGACTGTTGCTTTACAAACACTGACTGTGACTTTACAGACACTGACTGTGGCTTTACAAACACTGACTGTGACTTTACAAACACTGACTGTGGCTTTACAAACACTGACTGTGACTTTACAAACACTGACTGTGACTTTACAAACACTGACTGTGACTTTACAAACACTGACTGTGGCTTTACAAACACTGACTGTGACTTAACAAACACTGACTGTGACTTTACAAACACTGACTGTGGCTTTACAAACACTGACTGTGACTTTACAAACACTGACTGTGACTTTACAAACACTGACTGTGGCTTTACAAACACTGACTGTGACTTTACAAACACTGACTGTGACTTTACAAACACTGACTGTGACTTTACAAACACTGACTGTGACTTTACAAACACTGACTGTGGCTTTACAAACACTGACTGTGACTTTACAAACACTGACTGTGACTTTACAAACACTGACTGTGACTTTACAAACACTGACTGTGACTTTACAAACACTGACTGTAGCTTTACAAACACTGACTGTAGCTTTACAAACACTGACTGTGACTTTACAAACACTGACTGTGGCTTTACAAACACTGACTGTGACTTTACAAACACTGACTGTGACTTTACAAACACTGACTGTGACTTTACAAACACTGACTGTGGCTTTACAAACACTGACTGTGACTTTACAAACACTGACTGTGACTTTACAAACACTGACTGTGGCTTTACAAACACTGACTGTGACTTTACAAACACTGACTGTGACTTTACAAACACTGACTGTGACTTTACAAACACTGACTGTGACTTTACAAACACTGACTGTGGCTTCACAGACACTGACTGTGACTTTACAAACACTGACTGTGACTTTACAAACACTGACTGTGGCTTTACAGACACTGACTGTGACTTTACAAACACTGACTGTGACTTTACAAACACTGACTGTGACTTTACAAACACTGACTGTGACTTTACAAACACTGACTGTGGCTTTACAGACACTGACTGTGACTTTACAAACACTGACTGTGACTTTACAAACACTGACTGTGGCTTTACAAACACTGACTGTTACTTTACAAACACTGACTGTGGCTTTACAAACACTGACTGTTACTTTACAAACACTGACTGTGACTTTACAAACACTGACTGTAGCTTTACAAACACTGACTGTGACTTTACAAACACTGACTGTGACTTTACAAACACTGACTGTGACTTTACAAACACTGACTGTGACTTTACAAACACTGACTGTAGCTTTACAAACACTGACTGTGACTTTACAAACACTGACTGTGGCTTTACAAACACTGACTGTAGCTTTACAAACACTGACTGTGACTTTACAAACACTGACTGTGACTTTGTGGAAACACACTTTGTTTACAGTGACTTTGTGGCTCCTTTAAAGTAAAAACTGATCCTCTTTAGTTTGGATGTTTCCGCAGTTTGTGACTAAAGGTTTTTTTATTTAGAATCATAATGTTATTATTTTTTACATGTGTTTACAGTAACATCATTACAAGGATTTTAGTTTACATTAGTGTCACGACAGCAGACAGATGTGTTGTCATTGTGATCTCCCAAAGTCTGCAGCCAGAAAGATAGCAGCACATAGGCTAGCGGCAAGCAAGCTAGCGGTTAGCGGATGTTGCCCGTATTGCAGTTGTTATTAAAGTAAACGAGTGACAAGAGTAAAGCGGACTGTACGCTGTGTAAACTGTCACGAGGTGGATCCAAAACAAACGGCAGTAA